CAAAGAAAGATTTCAAATTTTAAATTTTTTTCAACGTTCACGCTCGCGACGACGCAACTTGCGGAAAGAGAGAAAACTTGCAGCCTTTCCAAAGAGGTGTGTAGATACCTTTGAGCATGCATGTATAGGAAGTGTGTTCCTTTGACTTAAAGGTCTGCTGACTAGAAAAGGAAAACTTTTCACTGGAGCATTACGAGCGCGTTAATGAGCCAACAAAAATCTCAAATTGCTCAAAGGTGGGCGGACACGCGGCTCAGCAATACCGTAAAACAAGGGTCGAGGTAGGGGCTGGGGCAGGAGGCAACGGTGTCACATTGTTTGAAAACTGCCACTAATAAAGGTGAATTTGTAGCGTAGTTTTTGTGCAAAGTGGAGTAAAACTCGTACAGTTAATGATTAAGCACGTACCACAACAACGGTTGTAACTTTTAAAGTAGAAAGGCTGCATGCAATAAAATTATAAGGCGCCATACACTGTGAAATTAGAAAACCAGTACCTGCGGAGTTGCGGGAAAACTATGAGTGTACTTCCATTCCAAACAGCAACGAAGAACGGAATGATTGAGACGTGCGCATCCGATCTCTACATACCCTATACTTCCCGCAACTTCCAACGATCAAAAGCAAAAAAATTCTGACAGAGCACGAAGATAAAGCTCGTTTCGTTCTGCTTATCAAGAAAAAATGCACTATGTTGGGTCTGTCAGGCATGGTTTTGTATATTTCTCAATCATGCATATCACTTATCCTCAACGATCTTAAAATGGTTAAATTGTACTTAATCGTAGATTTTAAATTTTGTGCAAAAAATTTCTTCAAACGCTGGATGCTTTGAATATGCTCTACAAAATATAGACCTTACGAGCACGTCAACATTGACAATCAGCTTTGACAGGCTGATCAATTCGAATACTTGTGGTATAGAGTGTAGCAGAGGTGTTAATGCTAATCGTTGCGGGCAGAGAAAAAATACTTAGACATATCACCTGCCGTTTTGCCGGCTCCCAACAACCAGCAGCACAGCATGTGTAGCAGGCCCACCACTCAACTGCAATGTTATGGGCTTAGCCTAGTGAGTCCACAATGGTAACACCAATTGGCAGCTTGTACTTACGTGTTTTGGCTTTTGTTGTTGCTGTTGAAAGTGCTTCCGTTGTTGTTGCTGTTGCCGCGAATCAATTGCGCTGCCATTTTGTTAAACATGTTGTTGCCCTAACTGGCCACTTTATTTAAACACTGCTGCACTCACTTAATTTTTTCGCTCAAAGGCCCAAAATCATCAACACCATAAAGCAGGGATGACATGACACAGTCAACAACACTCGCGTATTCGCAACTTTAATAACAAAATAAAATCTTAAACGACACTTTTATGATAGTAATATTTTGAACTTTGACTGAGCGGAGGCAGACGCATGTAGATATGTTAGTATCTATGAATGTATAGTACGAACTCCAAGACAGACAACAAAAGTTAACTGATTTGCCTAACACTGCCGAGCACGGGAACACTTTTGTTATAATTTATGCCGCTATGCTATAATATTGTTGCCATAATGTGGCCATCAACAACAACAACAACTACTACGCAATACACCGGCCACGCCTCACGCCCCTGATGTCTGCCTTTCTTTCGGTTTTGGCCATAGCCGTTTGTGTTACGTTTACAACACGCCGAGCTTGCTAGCAAATTGTTTACCGTTACGTTTATGTTTTTGAAATGCTAATGACCATTTCATTTAAGGTCATGGCAGCTGTCTGACTAAAGCTCGTATAAGTATAATCCAAGAAAAAATTGGAGCGCGCTGCCAGTAAAGATTTCGTTGTTACAGCTCCAAACAAACAAACAAACACACACACGCAGTTTACTTTTTGGTTTTTTTTTCGTGTTATTTTTACAGTGGTTCTGTCGTGGCACACGCGTTTCACTTACACCTGTTGCTTGGCGCCGAAAAAAGTAAAATACCGCAAAGCTGCGTTCCACGTTCGGCATACCAACACGCTCGGCGTCGTCACCTCAACTAAAAGACGATGAGCTCTAAAGCCTAGCTTCAAAAGAAACTCCACTCAAGTTCCATTAAAGCTTCCCGAAGCCATGAGCGAGTCGAGCCGACACAAGCCGAGCCGAGTCGGACCAACGCCACCGCAAAGTGGCAACAGTAACAGAAAGAGAAGCTGAAGCAACATCAGCAACAGCAACAGCAGTCGCTGGTGAGGCAATGCACACAACATGAAATAATTTCGACTTTACAGAAGCAAGGCTTTGGGCGCTTGCAGTTTACTTAAGTCGCTCTTTGCAGTCATTTTACTGCTCTATGCTTTTGTTGTTTTGCTTACGGTATCGTGGGTAAGTTTGAGCCGCCATTGCACACTGACTCATTAACTGTAAAAAAAAACAGTGACTGTTGCATATGTACATACATAGATCATAATTTTGGTTTGTTATAAAATTTAAATTTGGCCCCAGTGTTATGAATAAAAACCGAACCTTGTAAATCAAATGTGCCTTTGCAGAAATGCTGAAGCAACTTTCAGTGCAGAATTTACTCTCTTATGCAACAGCAACGTTTAGTTACACTTTCATTTTTATTCCAATACCTTTAACCGTGGTATTTGTTAGGGACGAACAATAATTTTTTCTAACCCTCCGAATTTCAAAGGCACTATCGGAAAATTTGCATTGAATTCAAATTCATTATAAACTATAGAGTAAGATGAGAAAGATGGGTGTGTAAATTTATTAGAAATTTACGCATTAACCACCCACACGCACCACCAATTAAAATTTATATCTGATGACAATTAGAAGAATAGAGTGATTGCCAAAAAGATAAATGAGTTTACAGACATACAAACATACAAGTATGTACATACATAGCAATGTAGGTACATACATACGTCGGTGCAAAAGCAGATGTGGTAGTGGATAGTTTAGTGGACTGTTTGGATACCTCCTGTTTGCCACTCTGCACTTTTAAGAGCCACTTTAACATTTAAAGCCGATGGAATGAGCGAGCGAACAAGTGGCTGCAAGGCAGACGCAATACCAGAAACAACAATAACTATTCACATAATCAAAAAGCGTTAGACAAACTACGATAAACGAACACAAAGAGGCACAGTTGGACGGACAAACATGCCCGACAACCAAACTAGACCAACAACAGCAACTGTGCAAAAACTTAAAAACGTGCCTTATTCAACAAGTTGGATAGACAGGATTGTTGTTGTTGTTGCCACTGCTGTTACCGCGCTGAGAGTACGATCAATTAACACTGACTCAATATTTTTCCGTCGACATAATACAAATTGGAAGCTGGAGTGCTTTTAACTTAACGTTATATCTTAAACTTACTTTATTCAACCAACACGTAATATAATCTGTTACTCGATACTATTTAGTATAACTATGTTGTACGTAAAATTCCAATTTTCTAACTCCGACACTTTTTACTTGTTTGACAAAATCCCACCCATTAGGAGCGGATTCTATCTAATACCTCAAGACTGGATCTACTCATTCAATTGAATTATAATAGGCATTACAATGCATTACAAGCACAGGGATTCTTTAAATACTATTTACTTCATGGTACTATTGATTTGCGTGAAATTGTAAATAAATCAAACATATGTACGAGTATATTTAATCACCTGGCGATAGTGCTTTTAATAGTTTTGAAGCTCTGACTAAACGAACCAATGTGCAAACCACATAGTATAGTAGTACCAGCAGGGAGTTGATTTTCATTTTCTTTGCTGACTGCGCCAATCCTAAAATGTGTTTACTCGTACCTGTGCAGCAGGCGCCTGCGCGCCAATGTTTTTAACTTGAGCTGCCGCCTGCTTGGTAGGTTTCATTTGGAACGGTCGCCGTAACCGTTGCCGTTGCCGTTGCCGTCGCCGTCGCCGTCACCGACACCATCAATTACCCGGCACCGTCGCCGTTGCCTTTGCCATAGATGCGGCGTCCTCCAAGCAGTCTGGCTGTGGCGCACTTGCAACAAGCCCATTTGTCGATTGAGATTTCTGTGGTTGCCCATTGCTTTTTTTTTAAATTTATTTTTCGGTTTAACTACGTAGTTTTATATTTTTCAGTGTTGCTCTTTGTTGCCTCTGTTTTGTGGTTAGTATGACGTCTTGGCCTTTCATTTTCATGACTTGCATTTGAATTTGCTAAAGTGGTGGTGTGTTGCTCATTTTTTACGCTCACACACTCGCATTCACAAGTTTCTGTCACCGTTGTTGTTGTTGTTGCTGCTGTTGCTGCTGCATGTTGGCAGTCGGCGCCATGCGCTAAACTGGACAGAGCAAGGCATATAAGTGGCTGATATCTCTTATGTCTATGTGTTACTTGACTGTTAACCTCGTGCTTCATTAGGCATTTGGCACACCGACTAATTATGCTCCGTGGTCGAAAACTTTTCTCTCCACGCACTCCATGTTGGCCATCTTGTGGTTTGTAATGTCCAGCAACAATTTTTATTTTTCCCAATTTTGGAACTCTCACTTGCAGCAATGCGCTGCACCGTGGAGCTGTAGAGTGTGGGAGCAAAGAAGGCGCACCCTGTGCAACAAAAACGCCCACAATTTGGAAATGTTGCAACTTCAGTTAATTTTTAACTGGCGCTTTAGCAAGCCGATGATTTTACAATCGGTATTACAAAAATAATATTTATAAATTTGTTTGTGTGTGTGTGTGTGTGAGTGTGTATGTGCGTGGCTAATTTGTTGGGAAAACCTTTTCGTTGGAAGCTGCACAGTGGTGCCAGTCCAGTCGTCGAGTTGCAAGTCATGCAAATGTGGCAAAGCTGCTTGCTTCATAGCCAGACAAAGAATGAGTATTTGTGTTAAGTGTTTTGCACGGGCACGTTTGTGTTGCATTCCACAGAAAAAACTGTGGCAAGCCTGCCGTGCCGCTGTGGCGAGGCTGCCAACCAACAGCCAACAACCATCAGCCAACAGCCAACATCGCACTGTTTGCGCTGTCAAGCATAAATCGTATACTTGATCGAGTACACGACATGTGTTTCGATTTTTAAAGCGTTTGTCTAGCAAGAGTTGTTTTGGTCTTTATTCATAATTAAAATTAAAATTCAATTGCGCGACATTGGGCACACGAGCAGCTCGCCTGAAAGTGCTCAGACGCAATGGCAATACTTCAAACCACATATTGACAGAATGATAAAAGCCGAAAACATTTTCAATAAAATGCAGCAAGTTACGATGAATTGGCGATATATCTACGTATACATGTGAGTGCATTTCAGAAAATTCGCACTTTATTCACCACTTATCATATCTGGAGCGCAAATGAAAATATGTCTTTAAGCTTGACATGCAGTATTAAAAGCAGAATTATGTAAATACTTGTATGCATGTACTATGTACACAAATACTCGTATGCGTGTAATGTTCTCAATTTTATGTCGCGTTTATGTAACACTTACTAAATGCGCAAATTGCACTTGCACCTATTTGTTGATATTCACATTAATTGGGTCTCTATAAGTATTTGATAACTATTGGTAATGTATTGGCCATACATTTATAAATGCAAATTGAATAAATTGAAAAAGATAGTGCTTGGAATCGAGGCTAGGCGAACACAGCTCTCATTTGAAGACACGTCAGTCAATACATGAAATTTTAGTAAAAACTCGGATGCCGAAAAGACAAAATTTACGTACCTAAATTCCTGGTTAACATTTATTTTAAATTTGCAGTGCGGCCAATTGTAACATGTTTAAGTTCGCAGTCCAAGTGTTATTACCAAAACTGAAGTAAATGTCTACACAAATCCATCAATTTGAAATAGTTACATATCCTCTTCCTTTCACCTCCACAGCCTTATAAAATGTTCAAGTAAAAACTACAGCGGAGGCTGCGATGGCGATGATAAGCCGAAATCAGCTTTTTCAGTTATTAAACCGGCGCCACCAGTCGAAATTTTTCATATGATAAAGTTGTTTCAAGATGACAAAGATCCCAAGAAGGTTAATCTCAGTGTGGGCGGTAAATAGTGTAGAAGTCTTGAATTGGACAGCATTTGACTAACCGTCCCTTCTCCAACAGCATATCGCACTGATGAAGGCAAACCATATGTCCTGCCTATTATCAAGAAATGCGAAAAGGAATTGGTGAATGATCCCAAACTAAACCATGAATACTTGCCGATATTGGGTGATCCACAATATAGAAAACTGGCCATGGAACTGTTGTTGGGCAAGGATAACTGCGCCATTATAGAAGAACGTGTAAGTAAAACGCAGTCACAGCACAGTATACATTTAAAGGATGATTCTCCTACTCCCTGATGCAGGTGCTTCCTATACAAACTATCTCGGGAACAGGGGCAGTGCGCGTGGGATGTGATTTTCTAGCGAAATGCATGAAACGACGTGTTGCTTACTGCTCGAACCCGACTTGGGAGAATCATTTTGGAATTTGCCGAACAGCTGGCTTTAAGAAAGTTAAAGGCTACACATATTGGAATCCTAAAAAGCGCAATCTGGCCATCTGTAAGCTTTTAAGTGAATTGGCCGAGGCGCCTGAGGGCTCCGTAGTCATTTTGCATGCCTCCGCGCACAATCCCACCGGCACAGATCCAAGTAGGAAGCAATGGAAACAAATTGCAGAGGTTATGAAAAGTCGCAACTTGTTCCCATTCTTCGATACTGCCTATCAAGGTTTCGCAAGCGGTGATATAGATCGAGATGCATGGCCGGTTAGATATTTCATAAAAGAGGGTTTCGAATTGCTAGCCGCACAATCATTTTCCAAAAATATGGGCTTGTACTGTAAGTGTTGAAGAACTCAATCGGCTAGATCGGAAATAACGTCCTTGATCTCCAAACAGGTGAACGTGCAGGCTGCCTAGTTCTTGTTCTAAATGATAAAAAGCACATACCCAACGTGGCATCGCAGCTTACGCTTCTGGTGCGCCAGAATTATTCAAATCCGCCGGCACATGGAATCCGCTTAGTGACGAAAGTTTTAGGCTGCGAGGAGAATAGATGCGAGTGGTATTGAAAATTATCTAAAGTAGCTGAGAACTTCAATAATATTTCCTTTCAATTGCTAGGGCTTCTACCGTGAAGAAAATGTCATCCCGCATCAAGGAAATGCGAAAGGCTTTATCCGAAAAGCTTGTAGAGCTCGAAACACCTGGGAAATGGGATCACATTGTTAAGCAAATCGGCATGTTCTCTTTTACGGGATTGAAACGTGAGTAATGCTAACACTTGAATCCTGTTCCGATCCTTTTCATCCATTTCATAACGCAACAGCTCAACATGCCGAAAAATTAATTAATGATAAGCACATTTATATGTTAAAATCGGGTCGTATTAACGTTTGTGCGTTGACTACCAAAAATGTGGAGTATGTCGCCCAGTCTATCAATGAAGTTGTTAAAGCTGATCCCTTAGATGATGGCGAAGACTGTGACGAAGATGGCGATGATGATGACGCCGATGATGATTGCGATGAATAGATATACGATAGTGCCGAATATACACACGTATACATAATTTTGTACAAGTAAAATGTACATAAGAATATGTCTAGTTATATATACCACTTGATCCAATGCTGCGGCATCAAGAAAACGCCGAAAAGTATGCAGATGCTGGGTACGTTTGTGAAACTAAAACTTTTTGTTGCATACTCAAATTTCATCAAACACTGCAAAATCCGTTTGTAAAATAAATGCTATTTACAGTTACTTATGCACATTAGATAATATAGACTTATGATCTACAAGAATACCAGATTTTGTGGTATATTGTGTTTATACATATGTACATATATTGATGGAATATTGTTTTTCCCTGTTAAATTTCTTACAACTTTATCGTACCGTAATGCCTGAATATGTGCAGTCAGGGTTTTGTGTTTATGTTACGGCATTTTTTTGTACAAGGACTATAATTTATATGTTACTAAGGGAAATAAATTCTTTTATTATTAATTTGCCAATAAAGTCGACAGCAAATAGTCAACGTAAAGCTAAGACTAAGCTAAAGCTAAAATTATTCTTTTTATACAAACGAGTACTCTTTGATTATGATCCAAGTCCCCCCTTCCAGTCTACGCCCACTGCTCACTCGTTCGCTCTCTTAATCTCTCTCGCAGTCACAAAGAGGCACTCGAAACACGTATTTCAGCTTGGCTTTTCAACTGGGCCTAGTCAAATCGAGTGATCAACAGGGCTAGCAGGCATGGCGACTTCAGTTGTTAAACAAACGTCACCGCGCGTGGATCAGAAACGGGTGCAATTGTTGTTGTGTCGAGCGTGCAGTTTTGACACTATAATCGGGGGAAGAAGAAGCAACATTAAGTCACAACTCGCCAGAAATAGTCAAAAGTGCTAGCTGGGGTTGCATTCAAAAAGCAAATGTGCTTATAATATACATATACATACATACACACATATGTACATAAATACATGTTTTGTTCATAAATAAAATGCGTGTGTAGAGGTACGTTTGATATTTAAATACAAAATATAAGTAGTTGCACCCACACATCGATAAGCTGGCTGCTCAATTACCCGATTACGTTAGCGTTTCAAAATGCGTGCAATTAGTGTTAGCAACTGGTTGAGGTTTTTTGTTTGGGTGTGTAGGTACATACAAATATGTATGTAAGTGGATATGTGTATCCATATATGATGTATATATTTGAGCGCGAATACAAACTTGGCCTAAAAATGTGAACTACTATATACATATGTACATATATATGTATGTATGTATGTATGCGTACCCATAGAGCATGCACCAATTAGCAGTTTTAGTTGATGTTGGAGTTAACAATTACCATGCCTTCTGTTGTTGTTGTGCCATCAATCGTATACCTACAGCATTCGGAATCGAGTCGCAAAAAATGAAAAGTGAAAAGAGCCATTAACATGTGTGCCTCTTTGTTGCAGTAATTTGTTAACCGTTTTTTGCCAATTACGGCGTCATTTTGCCCATTATAATTTCGCTTTGTGGCTTCTCTGCGCAAGGCATTGAACTGTACCATCCCTCGATCGAAACTATTTACAACTATTTACTGATGCAGCTAAGCAGCCTTGGAATGACGCTACTCAGGAGGCGTACAAGCAAAAATGTTGTTTCTCGGATTGTTTTTGCTTTTGTATGCTTTGTACATTTTGTCAAGATGAATGCACTGTAAGTGTGTAAACAGGTTTTACTTACCGAGTTTTTGGTTAGTTACTGCCCACGTCCAGGGACGATTACGCGACATGTTCGTGTATATGCATGACAGACGGAAAGCCATAAAATCAACAAAGCGACATTTCCACCTTTGGCGAAAGATACGACGATTGCTATTCAATATGGTCATGACAAGCGCCTAAAACAATGCTTGTGGAGGTGTGTGGTGCTGGTCCAAACGAAAATGAAACTAATGTTTGAGATTTCCGGCGGTTTACCAATTCTTATATGTATATACATACATACATCGTATGTTTGAATGAGTCTCAATATATGTACATTTGTATGCGTGTGCTCAAATCAATTATTTTTATTCAGACTATCAATATAATGAAATAAACAAAAATTCTTAAATCAAATTGGTTATAACAATTGCATTGTAACGAGCCAGAGTTATGTTTTCGTTCTGTATGATATCTAATATACAATACCCATAAAGTAGAGAATGTACCTAACTATACAATCATTATTAATTAATATGCAAACCGATTCACAAAACCTTGATAAAGCGATATCGGTGTAAAGCATTACTCATTTCATTTCAGTTTGACCCTCCAACAAACTAAGTGAAGCGATGCCAATTGGCCAATAACTAGGCCCCAAGGAGGTGTCGTCACTACATAGACTACATCAAGATGCCGCGCAAACTTCTTAAGTTTTTAATCATCTTCGACAACACGTCGCTGCTATATTTTCCCGGTCAATTTCTATCTGGTCGTGTTCTCATCGAGCTGCAGGATGAAACGCCGGCCCTCGGGTTACATTTCCATGTGGTGGGTGAAGGAGTGGTGCGCGCAGGAACGGGGAGAGGGGAGCGAACGTATGACAAAGAGAATTACATAGATTTTCGCATGCGGTTACTGGGTGATGTCGATCAAGGACCTGCCATTTTGTCGCCAGGCATACACAGTTTCCCATTCAAATTGGGCCTACCTGTGGGCTTACCGTCGACGTTTCTTGGTCGCTATGGCTGGATACAGTACTATTGCAAGGCAGCCCTGCGTGAGCCCAATGGGCTAATACACAAAAATCATCAGGTTTTATATTGCCTATTTGCACCATAGTTAGTTTATTAAATTCTGATTCTTGATTTTCCAGGTGTTTATTGTAATGAATCCCATTGATTTGAATCTAGAGAAGCCAATTCTGGCGGTAAGTGTAGATTTTAACATAAATCATACAATGTATATAATTTTATTTGATTTTATTTCTATCAGCAACCCTTCACCTGCGAAGTAGAACACAAGTTGGGCGTCGCCTGTGTAGGTGGTGGTCAAGTCAAATGTCGTGTTGTCTTAGATCGAGGTGGCTATGTGCCTGGAGAAAATATCCTCGTAACTGCCTTTATATCAAATCACAGTAATGTGACCATTAAGCGCACGAAGGCTTCTCTAACAGAGGTAAATTTTAAAATTGAAAACCTTTAGAGCTTAGCCTTAATAGAAAAGTTAGATTTAATATTTCATTTTAATTTCCCGCATTTTTACAGACTATTGAATACTTGGCTCGAGGCAAAGTGGTGCAAACAGAGAAGCGCGCCCTCGCTGTGCTAGTGCGTGGAAAAATTCGACCTGGTGCCAAGGATGAGTGGCACAATGACAGCCTGTATGTGCCACCACTGCCACCGACAAATTTACATGGCTGTCATTTGATTAAAATATCGTATGATGTTTTCTTTATCATCGAACCAAAATCCATGGAGAAGGAGGTCAAGCTTCAGCTGCCTATTATCCTGGCCACTTATCCCTTCCGCAACAATGCCAACGATGCGAATACTTGGCCGGAATCGGTTCTAAAGCCTGAGACGCATTACCATTATCCATCATCGTTGCCCATATTTCGTCCATGGCTGCATGAGAAGCCCGACGCATAAGGCCCAGTGTTAATTGCCATACATACTTATATTACTTTTACACACAGACATATTCAAGTTTAGTGTTTTTGAATTCGTTAATCCTGTGACAATACTAAAGTACCCTTTTCCTATAATTAAACGACGTACATAATGCAGATAAAAACCGTGGAATACACCAACTCCTACATCCACTGTTTCATTGTAAACTTCCATTGCAGTACCTGAAGGTATTCTTGCAAGTCGAACCGCTGCAACAGCGGCGCCTTATGCTACCGATGGCTTCCAGCACGTTGGATGACGCAGCCCTTAAAGGAATTCATGCGCACATCAATCTCGCCTTCCTCGAGCTGTGACAAACAAGTTTATTAAAGTAATTTTTCCCCAACATAATCATCGAAAACCCAGTACCTCATCGAAAGCGTAAATGTCCTGAAAGCATGATGGCGATATGCACTGCCTTATGCAATTTACCTTGGGTACACCGACAATATTCAAGCACAGCGGATGCTGCTCACAGGCTAGCTCGAAGTCATGGTAAATTATTTCCTGAAATTGTCAGAAACGGTTGAGACCACTGGAAAAAATCAATATTCAAACTTACATTCTTGCTTGTCTCCTTGTATGCATATTCTGCAAAATGAAATGTTGCTGCTTTGGCCAAAGGCTTGCCATTCACCCCATGATCTGGCACAGCGCCAATAACAATATTAAAAAGAATTATTGAGCAAAAACCCAGGAGTATTTGCGGTAAGTGTGACATATTTCTTCTTCTACCCTTGTACTATCGCCACGAAATGTCAGCTGTCAAAGCCAAATTGCACAACAAGGGTGGTAGGAATGGCTTTGCTAGGGGTTATTTCTGTTCTCAGAGTGCAAAGTGCGTTTTTTCAATTTTCAAATTTATCTGCTTATTTATTAACGTAATTCCTACATCTAATTAGAGAAAAAATATACTACTGGAAGGCCATTTGTACACAAATTGTCTGTGTGTAAGCAAGTGATGTTAAACTCTTTATCCGTAACGCCCATCACCATAATTTATTGAAACATACGTATAAATATGCCTCCTGTGTGGCATACATACATGCATATCCGTTTCAGTGCATTGAATCCATTTTACAAAACTGTCGCTACCATCATCGCTCCGCTAAAGTTCGTTTCTTTTCAAATAGTCGCGAGACTCACTCACCTGTTGAAAAATGTATATGTACGTACATATATACATATATTTAAATTTGGTCAATTCTGACTCTGTTGTTATTTACGCACCGTTTTAAACCATGGCGTTGAAGGCCGGAATACCATGCGATATATTATGCCAATTTCCGAACGGGGAGCAATGGCATGCATATGCAAATGTTTAACTGTGATAAACGGTGGCAAGTGGAATCCAAAAAGAGCATCTGATGTGTTTATGTTTTTCGATACTAAGAATTTTTTCAAACCATCCTCCATTCGTGTAACTACAACATATAGGGGTGCTGATAAGATAAGGACATTCATATGGACTTTGCATTTGGTGGAAGTTGCTTACTCAGGCCGTCGTGAGACTTGTTGAGTACTTCTAGGCTTTCGTAATGTTGCTTTGGCACTGCCAGGTAATGGTACGTAGACGCAGGTTTTATATCCTTGAAAATAACGTATTCGTCCGTCTCCACCTCCAGTTTAGTTTGGGGTACTTTACCGCTTGAGATATCACAAAATATACAGCTAGGTGGTGCCATGGTGGCTGAGTCTCCTCCGGGCGCCTCTATTGCGTATGTTATGACTAGCAGCAATAAGAGCAGCCCTACTACTGATAACACAATCAACTTGCACGCCCTCGTGCGGCTCTTAACACACCCTATTCGATTCAAGAGTTTGTCGTTTGATGATGAATTCATTGCAATTGAAGTAAAGCAATGACAGCTCTCGCCTGACAGCTGTTTATAAATCGAGTTGGCAGGGACTACACAAGCGTTGGCAGCACTCGTTAACGATTTTGTAATGGCGCTGTTTCCTCCCGCCGAACAAATTAGCTATTCAAACCAACGAGCGCCCTTTTATTATTGACTTGGATGCCTATTAGAGCAGCTCAAGAAAAATTGATCGTGGGTCGGGTTTAAAATATTTTATTACATTTTTATATACCTGCTGCTGGTCCGTCTGTATCATTCATCCGAAAATATACACAATGCATCTTTAAATAAAACTAGTATGTATGTATAGGCCTTTTCTTAGAAGTTAAATTACAGACGTGTTATGTTTGATTAAATGTTTTAAAACAAATGCTTGTGAACTTATGTACATATTTATTATGTAGTTTTTGTAATGCTCCTATTTCCACTATCGCTATACACAGATAAAACTACTTTAAGCTTCGACACTAAAAACTAGCCTTACACCCATCCTCAGTATGCATATTCCGCGTATATGCGTGTATGTATGCATTTTCATATTTCATTCTACATCATCTGACTACTTATGTTAGTTATTTTCTTAAATGAATGAATATCTTATGTATGTATATTGTGTAATTTTCTAATACTAATTTACTTTAGTACTCGTGTTTTTGTTTATATTAAAACTCTTTCAAATTCCAAATGGTTAGAAAAGTATTAAACCAAACACTAAACTTAATGGTGCATTTAAAATGTTTGTTATCTTTTGTATTTCAATTATTTTGACCAACAACGTTCTCCCGAAAACTTTTGATTTTCTGCACAAAATATGATTCGAGTGCCTCAGCGCACTTGTAAAACGACGACTCTTTTGGATTATAATAACGGCAGTTGTCAAAAATTTTTGTCATATCACCAATGAATTCGGCCAGTTTGGTGTATGTGTTCGATTCTAGTTTGGCTTCCATCTGCTTGAGATCTGTAAGTAAAAAGTGATAGGGGGTTCCACAACAATACTTAAAATTTAAGTATCTTTCAACTTACCCATGGGCTCTTTTATTACTTTGTAATAGTCTGGTGCCTCTTCCGGATCAACCGGTTCCATAAATGGCCAAGCACTTTTGTGGGACTAAAAATTCGTTGTGTTGTTAATTGATCGTTTAGAGGAGGATAAATTTAAAGTATGTATTACCTGTATTTGTTTGATTAAAGCCTTTAGCTCGAGCAGCTCATGCGACGTTAGACTTTTCATATTCGCCGCATTGGCATCCGTATTCCGCTGGCATTCCGGACAAACATATTCATCAATGAACTCAGCTTCACTCTGCAAAATTCCCACACAGCGTCCGTGGAACCAGTCCTGACACTTATCGCAGCAAATGTAAAACTGTGACTCATCGTAAGGTTGACGGCAACTGCAATAGAGCTGTTGAGTTTCACGGGCCTTCTTGCAATCGGTGCAAATGAATTCGGAAAGCTTCTTTGATGCCTCTTCGGTGATGTTGACGCAGTCGCCGTGGAACCAATTACTGCACAAATCACACCCCACATAAAATCTACAGGCGTTTGAAAAATCATTAACGATGATAGCTCGAGTAAGAAACTCAATCACTTACTTTGTATCGTCATATGGCGTGCGGCAAATACAATATAGCTTTTCTTTCTTCCTGGTTATCTTTTTGGGACGACCAACGCTGTGCCTTGTATTATTTGAGCCTAATTCTGAATTGTGGTTACGATTGCTGGATAGCTTAGGGTGTCTGTTATGAGTATAAAGTAGAATTATATTAAACGTGTTGAATATCATATATTCAAAGGATATTTACCTCTTATGTTCCAAGTTATGATCTGCATGCCGATCAGAAAATACGGCGGCTCGCTCATTCTCACTCTGTTCTTCAGGTGTAGTGACGCTCATGGCACGCACATGCCGCTGCACTTTGACCTGCACCTCCTCCCGTATTTCGTGTTGCAAATTCCGCTCCAGGAGCGATCGCTTGCGTAAAATGCTCTTCTTAAGCAAATCCTTATGGCGTTCCAGCTGTGATTGTCTGGGTTCGCTTAACTGTGCCGCATCTTCCTGCTGCCTGCGATTATTTTTGTGGGCGCTATTGTTGTGATTAACGACAACGGCTGTTGCAAGTCGCTTTGAGGGCGTGCGAATTTTCCATTCTGCATCTTCACTATTCTGATGCTGACGAGATGATATAGTCCTTCGACGAGCAGAGGTTGTAGGTGCATCAGAGGTCGCATTACTCCTGCTGGACAGCGTGCAATCACCTAAATTCTGTGAGTCCTGCTTCTTGCGCATGGTCTCCAGTTTCTCTTCGAGCTCCGGACTAAGGTTTCCTTGTTTCAGTGCATTTGAAATAGCTGCAATTTATAGATATTATAAAATGTCTAGCGTTAATCACAGAAATTTTATGTGTTTCAACACTCGTACGCGAAATAAAATATCAAGCTTTAGGACAAGGCTCCATGCCCGACTTAATATATTTACAAATTATAGCTCTCTAATACTCACATTCTTGTATATATCCGCTTGTAACCACAAAACTCTTTACTTGCTCATCATTAATGATTTGCGGATTGTTCACGTTTTTACTTGGGTCTTCTTCTGCCTGATCTACGCCCTCCACGAACGTGCCTGTTGAATGGTTGCTGCATGGGACGGTGTTATTCTTATCAATTTGGGCAATGGTGTTGGGGCCGAGATGAAGCTCGCTGTTGCTGCCAGCGGCATTTGTAGGGACTGTGGTGCAGATGCTGTTGAGTGTGTTGTCTTCGTCAGCAGTTGTAGACGTGGTAGTTGAGCTGGTAGCTGCGTTGTTGTTGTCGCTGCTGGCATCTGCGACTGCGCAACTAACGTTGTTGGTCTGCAATGTAAATTGATTTTGGACTTGAACATTCTTTCCTAATTGCTGCTGCACTTCAAGTTGGGCTGGCTGAATAACTTGTGATATTTCTTGAGCTCCTTCTACCATTAGTGCTTCTTGATCTCTCTTAAATCTATTTTTGTTTTCACCATCTCCATTCTCACATAGCCCGGCAGGGTTATCGGCGACCCCCTTAGGAGGCATGTCGCATTCTGTTTTGGCCCTCAGCGCAGGCGACAACATGCTTTGTCTCTTGCGCTTGGGACTGCACACGACAATAATTTCGTCATCGTCGTCATCTTCATCTATGGTCCCTTGGGGTAGTATATAATTTGTGCTCACAACGCAAGCTATTGATAAGCCACCAACCTAGTTGTTAGCAGGAAGTGAGCGAGGGTTTATTGTAAGTATAGGTATAGAAATTTCAGAGTTTTTTGAGTAGGTTCTCCGAAATTTGTCTCAATCTATAGCCAAACGTTCATATGTGTGGGTGGATCTTAATCGATAAAACATTTTACTATTTTAAGATACATATATGAGAAATTACAGCCACCTACCTTGCTTTAATCAGAGATCAGTTGTAGTATTTATTCCAGGCAACCTTTTTTGGATTGTTTATTGTAGTGGAGAAGTTGTTGTTGTAGTAGTTAATGGCGAAGAGATTAACACGAAGAGTTGGGAGTTGTAGTTGACGACACGCGACATTAAGGCATTGGTAATTTTTGTTTATGACGTTTTAAGCAGTGGCAGCATGAATTTGAATTGTAGGGTATTTGAGAACTTTTAATTACAAAGTTGGTTTTTCAAAACAAATTGTGATGTATTAGCTCCTTTGAAAATTGTAATTGTAATGAAAATTACTGCAAAATGTTTAGCATGTTGCATGTGTATATGTTATGTTAGTGTGCGTGTAGGTAGAGGTAATTGCTGAGTCTGATAGTGTCTATTTGGTGTGGGCGTGTGTTTTGTTTTTTGTTCTTTGTGTAGGAAACGTGTGGTACGTAATTGTATACATCTTTTTTGTTGTTGTTTTTAGTTTTTTAAACTTTGGACAAGTGTAAAAATTCATTTCGATTTAGATGAGATGATTACAAATATGGTTAAGCCTTTGTGTTATTTTTTTTTTTTTTTTTTGAAGTTACTCAAACCGAAAAATAGCTCAATCGCGCGTAGTTGAGGGCATGCGCTTACGGGGTACGGTTCGCCATTGGGATAACAGAATACAAGCCGTGCTTCATATGTATATACATACTATATATAAATACATATATACATACATATGCATATATATACATATATATGTATTTCATGTATATATATATAAGTATAACTTTTAATGTCAGCCAACTAAAACTCTGTATTTGGGTTAATCTCTTCAGCAATTTCCTTTTTGTTCATTTTATTTCATTTTTTTTGTATTTCAGTTAACAATTTAAATTTGGCCATATCAAACAAAAATAAATTTTGGTTTAATCTGATTCCACTGATTTCTGATTAAAGGCATTTTCGTTGTTTAACATAAAGTGTTATTTTTTAGGTAATTTTCTCCTCTTCTTACACTGACTTACAACTTTTATTTTTCCCCTCTTCAAATATATTATAAGCGAGCGCTTTTTGTCAACACAAAGGCCAATTTGCAAATAATCATCCAACTAATTCGGAAACGAAAATACACACAAATTTTCAATTGGTATGTTCGTGTGCTTAGTTGTAGGAAAGTACGTAACAATAGAGTTAGAGTTTGGGAAGAGTCGATACTATGTAGGCAGGAATTTCAAAGTATGTACAATTGTTTTGGAGTTCGATGCTGTTGTTGGGCTGTCAGAGAGCGTGCGTTCTACAGTTCGTACGGTGTGTCGGATAGTGTATGTATTTTGAAGTGTTGTAATGCTATGTAACAATTCGCAGATCGCAGACAAAAAGCGACACATGTCAGTATTTTTGCACAGCACATGATTTCTTATTATCTTCTCATGTAAAATATTTACAATGAACATTTTGCATTAATTTTCATTCCGTTTTTTCTTCTTTTTGAGTTTTTCATGACTTCAACACACAAATATATATGTCAGAATAGGAATTTGGCAAATTTAAATTAATTCTCCCATTTAATATTCAATTTTTTTTATTGAAGATATAGTGGGATGTACAACAATTTTTAAATGATGTCATATATATTTGTGGAATTTTTAAAACGATTCGTTTCATTATTATAAACATATTTATTGAATATTTATCAGGGTATTCGCCTAAGTGCTCTGTAAACCCGAAGTTAGAGCAATGCTATCAATATGATAAGTCAAAATAAGCAATGTTTTTTTTATTATTTTATTTTGTCTATGGTAGCTGTTTGTGGATTTTGTAATTGGTTTTTGTTCGAAAAAAAAACAGTGTTGGGCGTAATTATTTTGTATTGCATAGTACGTTTTATTGCAAAAAGCGCTTTACATAAATACAGGTAAACATAGTTGGTAGCCGAATGAGTCTAGGCCTAAAATCCAAACGCTTTGGCGCGTTTGTTCTTAATACTGTGCCCTGCTCTTAAACATTTTGTTGGATAAATGCTCGTTAAATAATGAACTGCGTAAAGTTCACTGAAATGCTATTTTCTATTGCATATTACATATGTATATGTGTATGTAGAACTATTTAAAAATATTGCATTATTAAAATACGTATGTAGTATAACTAAATAATTTATGGTAAACTAAAGATAACTAAAGCAAAAAATAAATATTGTTTTTAATCATAGAAGCAAATCGCATACTGCTTATTTTTGTTGTCTGTTTAATGTTTATGTTTAATGTAGTTTTTGTATGTATGTATGTATCAGTGTGTAGAGTGCTACCTGCATGTCTGTGTGTGTGTGTTGCGTAAGAAGAAGTAAGTTTGTGGACAATTAGTTGAATTAACATTATATTGCAAAATGTAGCCGTTTGTTGCTTAAGTTGCTCCTATTAGAAAAAAAAGCTTAAGATCGCGAGAACTCATACATGCTTAGTAGGAATGTGTGTAGCACGCACTGGCCTTTGAAAATTCTGTTAAATCAGCAGATATATTAAAACTGACATACAAAAATTTAACACAATTTAAAGTAAAGAAGAAACAGGTGTGTTTTTAATAAATAATCGAAATTATATCGCAAAAACATGCTTGGTCAATTGAAACATATTAAACAAAGTGTAACTTAACGTAGACATTAAATGTACTTTTACTTTAACAAACGCTTCAACTGGCGTTTCAGTTGGTAGGCGGCCTACAATTTATATAGCCCTGTTCTCTCTTAGAATTCCCCGCGCTCACACTCTAAGATTTGCATTTAAAAGCTACTCACTTGTTGATGCGTTGCAGACTGATGCACAGGTGTTAAAGGTGGCGGCTGTGACTGAGACGCTGTTTCTGGCTGCACGGCCAAGTAGATTTTTGTGGGTCCCAGGACTCCCAACTTGCCGTGAGATTCTTGTGCTGTGTAGATAGACAACGAAATATTTGTATAAGTATATTGTTTTTAATTTTTACAATTATGCTTATTTTAAGCTAATTCCTAAAACTAACTAAACTACTATACTATGCGTTAATTAGTATAACTGAAGTAGGAATATTAAATTTAATAAATCGGCATATACAATTACCTTTCATCAGTTGTTGCTTGACCTGCGTTTGCACCAATTGCAGTTGTTGCGCAGTGAAGTCATTGCCCACAAGGCCCTGGAGAACAATACGTGGACCATGTTCTGTTTGAAGCACTTGAGCCGTTACACATTTGATGACCGTGCCAGGAGGTTGATTTTGCAGCAAACTTTCCTCTATGCTTAAGGCCTGCTGTTGTTGAGGCTGCACGGGTTGGCATACTTGCTGCACCACCTGCATTGGCATCATTTGTGGCTGCTGCTGTTGCTGTACTATAACTTGTTGTGGACTGTGTTGTACGACGGTTTGCTGTTGTTGTGGTAGCTTTACGGGTGAGCTTTGAGGACTTGTTTCCGTTACTGCAGGCGTTGTATTATTTGTGACGATATGCGAATTTCCGTCGCCCTGCTGCTTTATGTGGGCTACGATCTGGGCCTGGTTGTTGCCTAGTGGCTTCACAATGACCTGTTGACCATTGACCGTCGCTACTTGCAGCTTGCCTTGCGCCAGCTGCTGCGCGAGAGTAGAATTCGGTACAAGAACTTGTTGGCCGGCGGACCCGTTGTTGTCTGTATTACTAGCCTGCGCCTTCTCTTCAATTGCTTGTTGTTGCTGCTGCTGTTGTTGTGGCTGTTGTTGTTGTTGTTGCAGCACCAGTTGCTTCACCATTTTGGGCGTTGTTTGAATTGTTTGATTGCTTTGCACAACATATTGTTGCTGTTGTTGCTGTTGCGACTGTATCTGTACAGTTTGTTGTTGTTGTTGTTGCTGCTGCTGTTGTTGGTGCTGAGCTTGTATTTGCTGTTGAACCATTTGCTGTACTTGACTCTGCGGCATATTACGCTGTGTGACAATCGTTTGACCCGGGCTCAGTATTATGCGTTGCCCACCAACCACAATTTGCTGTTGCACATTGCTGGTGTTCACTATTTGTTGTATAACCTTTTGTGTAGGCTGTGCGCTCACCTGATTAACAACAATTTGTTGTGTCTGTTGCGTTGTTTGTTGCTGTTGCTGCTGCTGCAACACTTGTGTCTGTACAATTTGCTGCTGCGGTTGAACTGTCTGCTGTTGCTGTAATCCTGAAGCTGTCAATATGACTTTCTGACCTTGTGCATTTTGACCGACCACCACTTTAGAGCCTGGCTGCACAAAAACTTGCTGCAGATTTTGTGATGGTGGCGTGGTGGTGCCCACAACTTTAGGCTGTACAAGTTTCTGTACAGTGGGCGATGATGTTGCTGTTGCAGCTGCTGCTGCCGCTTGTTGCTGCTGCGCCATTAGTAATTTATTTTTCACCTGCGCCAATGGTAAAGTGACACGTTGCGATGACGCTATAGCCTGTGCCACAGACGGTTTGGTCACATTCTTCACTGCTATTTGCTTAATCACTGGTGAGCCCGAAGGAGTGGCGGCGGTGCCGGAAGTGTTTGTGGCAGTAGTCGATGTTGTTGTAGGACTGGACGTTGCTGAAGCCAGGGTTTTGATTGGCAACTTACCTTTGACGGTTGCCAGCTGCGTTGCTGCATTTGGATTTGTGGATGTTGTCGTCGTCAGGACATGTAGTTTGCCGTCCGGCATTTGTACCAGCTGCTGTCCTGGATTCAGACCCCGCACGCTTACTTTGCCGTCGGGTCCACGTATAATTTGTACTCTATGTGGTGTAGATTGAGCTGTTGGTGTTGCTGGTGCTGCCGCTGTTGATGCTGATGCCATAGGCGAAGCTGCATTTGAAGAGATTGTGGATGGCAGGGTTTTTGGACGTGCCATTTGCGTGACGGCTTGTTGAATGATGCGAGTTGTTCCGTCAGGATTGCGCAGCACAACGCGTCTGCTGCTCAACATTTGACCCTTGGCTACAAAAAAAGACAAGACTTCGTTAATAACCCAAGCTTCTATGTTAATATATTCTTTAAGTAGAACCATACCTGGAGAGTCCGAGTACATAGTTTCACTATTGGTATTCAACGATTTACGCTGCTGATGCACAGCGCGTTGTAGTTTTAATTGTTGCTCCATTTTGTCTTTCATATCTTCTTTGGGCTTTGATGCTAACAATACACGTCCACCGTTGGCGCTATTGGCAGACGTTCCAGCTGCGTTAGTTGCTTCCAATTGACGGGATGCCACAGATCGCGTGACTGTGGCCAGGCGCGCTCTTTCTTGTTTTTCGCCAATGAACTTTATTTCCCACAGCTCGAGTTTGTCCTCCTCTACCCATTCCTCGCTGATTTGTGGCTCGGTTGGTTGTGGCGATTCAGCGCGTTTCCGTTTCCGCAAGCCTGAACGTATGGATGTGACTTCTAAACAATAAGATAATAAAGATATTAAATTTTGCAGTTATATTTTAAAGTGTACTTGGTAAAGAGGGTATATTAGGTTTGGGCAAATATGTAACCTAAATTATATATATGTATATAATTCTTAATCAGCATGACGAGAGAAATCAAAATAGACATGTCCGGTCGTCTGGATGAACGCCTAGATTTTGGAAACGGCTCAGCGCAATTTAATAAATTTTAGGAAGTAGACTCTCCTAGGCCCTAGGCAACACAAGTTTATTTTTTATTTTTATGTTTTTCCCCCGTTCCCCTCTAAATATACATAGGCCAAACTTTGCACACGTAATTTATATATTAACTAAATTTGTTGTAGTGTATTTCACTGCCGAGCTTGCTCGTCTGTAGCATTCACTCTTGTTAATACAACATAGGTAGCGAAAAAAGTTAAGACATACATTTATCGTTTTAAATTTAACCAGAACCTTTAAAATTATACCCATATGTAATGAGAATTAAAACATAGTTTCCAATTATTAACTGCTGCTGTTTGGATAAAGAATGCTATGAGGTAATAATCTAAAAGTGGCTCCATTTATAAAACATAACGCATAGAATCGTCTGTATTTAGCTCTAGACCGACTCTGCGAAACGTGCCTCATTTATTGGAGAATTCGAATTGTATTAAAAGATTTGCTTTTTATAATTAGAAGGATCTTTCTGTGAACTTATTTTGGTAAGATTTACTAAATTTTTTGTTTTTGAACGCTCTTTTTCTTGTTGCTCTAACTGTACTCAGAAGTTAAATTTATAACTTACCCCTAATTGTTTTCGGCATCTCCAGGGGTATGACGACCTTGCGCCTCAAATAGCTTGTCTTCTCCCCATAACGACCGGCATGGCGCAGCTTCAACAATTCAACGGTGACAATTTCCGTCTCTGAAGTCACCTGGTGTTTACCATCAGCGGATGGTGGCTTGGCAATCATATCATCCCATCGTAGACACGACCACAAAATACGTAACTGTAGTGCTATGCAAGACAATGTTGTTGCATTGGATGTGCGGTAGGACCAACAAGTGCGAAACAGTGGACGTGAGCATTGATATTGCCAAATGGAGTTATTCTTAGCCGCATGGTGAAAGCCACTGGCGGGAGACTTTCCAGCGAGGCGTGCCAATTTCAGGAGCTCGTAACGCGGTAAAACCAATAAGCTGCGCTTTTGTTTGTGCGTAAGGAAATTGGAAATGAGTGGATACCGCGAATAGGCGGGCTTTTTTGTCACGACTGCCTTGTCCTCTGATTTGATGTTCTGCTCGTATAATTTTGACGCATCGCGCAGCAAGTAGATTCGTCCACGTGGTGATGTCGCCGAGTAGATACGCTCCTTACCATTCTCAAAGTACTCGCGTTCATATTTTGTAACATCCTCACGCTTGACAGCACGCGTCGTGATTGGAAAGCGACGATTCTGTTTGTTCAACGGTATGTCCTTGTCCAATGTCTGATCGAGCACATCTTTTGTACCTATATAAGCTTTTTTCTGCTTCTGTGTGCGCTTTCGCCGGGATCCGGCCGACATGTCCACATCTTCAGCATTAACTGTAGAACTTGCGGCACTTGCCGCTGCCACAAGGGAATCTTCAGTACTCTCAATCTCCACATTACTGCACACATCCATGCTTTCAATGTAATCCATTTTGTCGGAGTCTTGTGTGCTATTGTCGACATTTGCATTGCTTGAAACGTTTGGCTCTTCTACTTTAACTGTAGCTGATAGTTCAACGTCGCTTAGCAAGCAATCGGTAAGCAACTGTTCGCTAAAGGATACAGCAACAGTTCGCGATTGCTCCCAGTCTTGCAACAAGTCCAAAGGTGCCTCACCTTCCACCAACTTTGCATCATCCGCGTCATCAACGGCCAAGCTCGATGCATCTTTTTTACCTTCTGTCAACTTTTGCTCAAGTATGGAAGGTTTTTTCACGGCACCAAGAATAGCTGCAACTGTCTCCTTGGACCCATTTCCCGCAGTATGTGCCTTTCGTAGAAGTAGTAACAACTCTTTCTTGGCGCGTGCTTTTTGCAAACAAAGTGGCGAATAACAAGTATTTTGCGTTATTTGCGAAACAGCGTTTGAGTTTGTGTTGCATTCCTTCGTATAACAGCGGAATGTCTTGGCAAACCGATTGAGCTGACTGAATTGGAGGCGCACGGTTTGTATTTGTTTGGCGAGCGAATTGACGAGATCAAAATTCACGTTGGATGAATGTGGGCTACTCTTGCCAGAGGTTTCGGTTAATCGCAGCAGACGTTTCTCTAGATAGGTTTGTTTGGTGCTATTCGTTGCACTGTTAGATGTAATTACCAAAGGTTTAATATCTGCCTCTGAATTGGAAGCCAGTTGATGCTCAACCTCCATCAATTTACTGCGACGCTCAAGTAAATCATCCACACGACATTTCCTAGCCACTTTAGGATAATAGCTACGACCCGGTGCGTTCAGCGCTTTGCTCACATCAATGTTACCCTTGACGCGTTCCTTTACATCTTCAATAACTTTGACGTTCTTATATTGCTCCGGCAAGTAGTGGCATACCTGGCCCTCTGCATTGATGGACTCGCACTGTTGCATAAATCGTTGGGTGCGTGGGTCAACTAAAATTATTTCATCAACAGCCTGCTCAGGATCTTCTTCATTTTCCAACGTGTAGTGCACATAAACCCGATTATGAACGAGGGGCTGAGCACGTCGAGCGCGCACTCCACATCGCCGACTGCTTGACAACCAGAGCCAACCCCATTGTCCGTGCACGCGATACTCTTCACCCTTTTGCTTCCACACCTGGTGCTTCAGGCCTAGCGAGTATTTAATGTAATTAAAAGCCAGTCGGTTGCGTTCCTCTTCATCATCTCGCTCACGTTTCTCACGCTTCTCCAGCTTCTTGCGCCATTCACGTTCTGCACTAGTGATGCGTTGCAGGGCCGTGTGGCCCAGCTGTTCATGCCACACATTGGCAAAGACTACACTCTTCAGCGAGGCCTGGAACAGCATGAGCACAGCAGCAAAATCTGAGGCACGTTTCGCACTCATAACAGCATTGTTCCAGATCTTTTTGTTAATCACCCAATTGGGATTGAGAAAAGGCGCTGCAATGTTCGATTCAAAATTCATCAAAGTCTGACGTAATGTCTGAACAATGTTGTCAGCTGTGCCCATTGTTATACCAATCCATTTGAAATCAGAGGCTGTTGTTAGCGAGAACTTGTGTGAGAGGTGGCGCCTCTTATCCCGTTCTTCATTGCGTTGCGGTTTGTTTAGTGCTATGGCATTTGTAGCATATTGATTTACATAATTCTTGTAGCCCTGTTCCATACCAAGCTTAAAGTACAGTGTTCCACTGTTAAGTTGGTTCGTTTTCTGCCGTGTGACCATTTTATTATGTTCCGGCTTCTTAGCCGCCTCATCAGTTTCTAGTTTGACAGCGTCTACTTCTGGCTCCCCTTTTGCTGTTTCTTTGTCCAATAATTCACGCGTAGCATCTTGCTCCAGTTCCAACACCGTGCGCTTGTTATGTTTGTGCTCATTGGTCAGCGTTTCTGTCAACTGCATTTGGCGCTCAATTTCTTCTTTACGCTCCAAGAGCTGGGCATACAAACGCACCTCTAGCTCATCAGGATCCAACCTTTTTAGCAATAATTCCAACTTGCTTGTTGTGCTGTAGTACCAGCACTTTCCATCGATTTGATCCTCCACAAATATTCTCCGTGCAATAAACCAAAACTTTCGACCGTGTCGGTCCACGCCAAGACTGTCATGCCGTATAAGCACTCCCTGCTTTTCCTGCGGCAACACGCAATCAACAACTCCAACAACTTTGTGCGAGGTACATAGGCCACACTGCCAGTCTTCAGTGGGCACATCGTTCATAGGGGGATCCACACATTCCAAATGATAGACAGCGGGGCAAGTTTCACAGCACAGCAAGTCACCCAAGCGATGGCAGACGCGACAATGATCGTCATAGTGTATAGGCCCCTCTTGCAACATTACGTCTCGCACCGAGTTGGCAAGTAGAAACTGATCGCCCAGGAACTGCAGTACAGTTAGTCGGTGCTCCACTCCCGTATAGGGATATTCACCTTGAGAAAGTATGTCATGCACTTGACGATCAAATTGCCTATCACTATCAACGTAGCTGCGCAAAATTTCCGGCCAAGTAATTGCATCGATCAAATATAAACTAATGTTGACCGTGTCCTTCTGATCTAGAGGGCCAAAATGTGTTCCTTGGGCATCCTCCTCGCGTAATATAGCCTTAAGCAGCATTATATGTATGTCAGTGAGTAACGCGCTTTGCTCTTCGGACATTAGAGCCGCGCAAAAATCCTCAAATCGAAATGGCGAAAGCCGAACCAGGTGGCGAAAACGCCTCAAAACCTCGTATATACTGAGTGCGCACAGAACGTGACTGTTGCCCACGAATAAATCCTCTGAAGACTCTGGCAGTTCGAGAGATGCGAACACCCGACCTTCTTGCAGCCAAATAGGTTCCGGACTGGGCGGTCGCGGTGGTCGTCCTACCCCGTTTTGTGTGAAACTGCATACTGAGAACTCAGACTCACTCTCGTTGGCCTCTTCTAAGCTCTCATCGTCACTTGGCGTAAGCAACATATCATCTTCATTATCTGATTTTTCCTCATCCGAGTCACCGAAATCTGAACCGTAGTGATACTCCGATTCGTAACCTGTTAAAAGAAGATTTTTAAAGTTAGTATTTTTTACAATCGTTGCATTTCTCGTTACCCCTCAAACGCCCACAGTGAAAGCTTGACATATCTGGCACTTCTATTTAGTACCAAACGCACGACACTTGTTTGCCCACTTCAGTCAAAAATAAACTTTGCTCAAAAATGTAATTCAATTTGAATTTGGATGTCGGCTATCGCAGTATTTAAAACTGGCGTCGTCAAATGTATTGCTTGAGTTTTATGTAAAAAACAAGCAAAATCAGGATTTAATTTATTGCTACACTTTGCAGTAAACTATCTTCTATCTTTTCGCCTACTTTGACAGTTTGGTCGAAGCCTTTCTGAAGGAAATTTGATAAACAAATTTACCCAACACTAAAAATGAATTCGGTCTCAAATTTGACATAAGTTTCGACTTACCTTTTCTGCTGGAATAACTGGCATTGGCATGTACATTTGACTTTCGTCCGCGTCCTCTTTTCGCGCCACTGCCGCGACTGCTGCGATTGTTATTGCTGCTGCGGCTGCATTCATCGCTTTGTGGTGAGATGGCTCGCGACGCGGACGGCGTGCTTGGCTGCGATTTTCCTTCACTTAGATACTTTGGCTTCTTGAGCAGTTGATAGTTGAAGCGTCCTGTTGACCTCTCATTAGGCGTCTTTGGCGGCCGACCGCGCTTACGGCTCCCGCGGCCGCTCATTTTTGCTGATATATTTCTTTCGATTTCTTGTTGTTGTATGTGATTTGCTTTACTGCGGCAATTAGACGCACGACTTTATACTTAATCCTACTGTTTGTACCACTGTAAGCGTGGCCGCGTGTGTTTGTGTGTGTGTGCGATGTACCCAAATATGGCTTTGTTTAATTGTGTAAACGACCGTTAGCGTTGCACATTTATCTAAAAAAAACATTGAGTATAAATTAATATCTGGCTCGAAAATGTAGCTGAATTCACACAAACATGGTTCTCACGCGCATTCGCCCACTCACGCGCAATATGTGTGAGAAAAAATCAATAGATTTCACATTTAGTAAAAGCAAACTAAGCTTTGGGCATTTGTTTACAAGCAAGCGGTATTAAAATCGCTGCTAACTTAATGTTCTAGGCGCCAAAAATTCATACACACAAACATTTTGAAGAGGATGCTGCGGGAGCTGCTTTACCAATTTATTTTTTTTTGTAATGTAGTACTAAACACACGCACTGGGCGACGGAAGGTAAAACTGTGTGTGTGCGCGAAGCCAACGCACATTGTCCGCCATTTATAAAAATGTGAAAAATTTAGCCAATTGACACACAAATGTATTATTTGCACAGCTAACACGAAATTTCAAAGCACATATTGGTCTCACACGCTTGGCTACTCATTCCAATTGTTCTGCACAATTTAATTTAATATTATTTAACTTTTTCAAGCAAACTAAAAGAGCAGACATTACCTTACATTTTACTTCTGCACGTACAATAGCGAATAGCGTACAGTCGGCCAATCACAGAACAGCTTCTATTCGCTATAAGTACAAGCGACCTCTGGTAGTCGACTTCGGTACTAAAATGCACAAGGTTGCAGCGAATAACGCACAGGTCCATCGATAACGATAGTATTCTTGTTTATGTGCAATCGAGTAGAAAGGTAGCATATTTGAATTTAAGTCGAATCTGTTACGAATTAGAAGTATATCGTGCTTAAGTTATTAATTATTATTTATTTTGTGTCATTTAGTGCGATAATTGTCATCAAACTCAATTACAGTCAATGAAATGCTGCTTCATGCATCTACTGATCCGAAATGACTTTGGCAGCGTATATTTGGTTTGCCGGAGCTTTAGTTCTAACTGTTTGTATACATTAATTTACTGCTAATTATTACGGATGACGCGCCTCATAATTGAGTCAGTTGCCTACGTTGTAGCCCTGCCTTGCTCACATTGATATCTTATCGTTCAGTTATGATTGTGAATTTATTGCAAACGCGGTGAAATAATTAGATTTTGTATTCAGTATAACTTTGTCTGGTGCACGCGGCGGTACTTAACGTTATAACCGCTATAGTTTTATTTGTTAAATGAGTGCATTTACTTGTCAATATGCTTAAGGCCTTTTGGTATGTTGACTATTAATTATCTTAGGCAGTGACTAATTACACTAGATACGTGAATTATATATGTCAAGTGATATGTCTAAGCCCATGTGCACATAAGTACATATGCGTATCAGCGTAGTTAAATAAATGAATGGTTTCCAGATAAAGCTCTGTTGCCAATACACCTGTATCATATATTTGTTTTTGTATGAGCGTTATATTATTGAAAAAGCAACAACTGTTATTACATGGTGTCTGATCGTGCAAGTGTCGGAGTGTGTGTGGGTGCATTTTTATTACCACGCCGGCGCCGGTGGTTTCCAACCCCTGCTCCACCTCAGGTGGCTAACTTTAATTTTACTCAACCTACTCCAGCAGAATTGGAATAATTTGTCTTTCCATGCTTGCTCATCTGTTTCTGTTGAATGCTTATCAGTGCATTTTTCGACCGATTTTGTCCGAAAGTTACTTTCGAACCCGCACAATATTATGTAAAATTTGTTGGAATTTAACCGCCTTGGTATGTACATATGCGTATGCGTGCTGATAAAGTTACGTATAATTACGGTTGTGATTAAATTGGGCTTGGTCAGCGTAAAGAACGACGTGCTCTGACATACATATCTGTATATAATGCAAGAATTTGTTTTTTTTTTTTTTTTTCAATGAGAGTTGGCAATTGCGCTAGTCATTATATACATACATGTGACGGTGTTTTGTTAGGGGATTCTCTGGAGCGTAACGATTGACCGAATGACGTCATGCCTACTTAATAATTAGGCCGCACTAATTAAACACTTATCAGTCAGTTAGTCTTACATACTCGTATACGCACCTGCCAATACACATGTGTACTTGTAAACGAAATTGGGCGGTTATTTTTGTATGTTTGTTCGTTTGTATAAATGTGTATTTATACACATTTTTTACGTAAACATGCTATCATTCTAGATACACGAATGTGTGTGACTAAGTCCGATGAAAAGATTTATTATACACTTTAATCAATTAAAAATACATATTTGAGAAGCTGCCTAATATATGCGCTATATCTAACAATTGTTTCAGAATTATTTTTGTACAAATACTACACAATGAAGCCCCTTAATTGGTCCACAGTTTTGAATATTTTTGCATGTTTAGCAATATGCTCCAGCTCTCTATTACACACAACAGTGGCCGAGGAGGCCACCAGCACAATAATATTAGCAACAGAGTCTAGGTGAGTGTGTTGCATTAAAAATTTCGATTTAGTATTAATGCGGCTGGATGAAAGCGCAGCACGGCTTCGGAAAATGTTAATGAAGTTACTACCGATGTTATGGAAAACACATCAACGACAGCAACAACAACCGGTACTATAGCAGCAATTAGTTCTACAGCGGAAAGTCTGTCGACACGGCCACCGATCGACACCTCAGATACCAGCCAGAGGCCCAGTATTCAGCGCAACTCATTGGGCTTCGATACCAAACTTCTACAGACTCAGCAACCATCTGATTGTTCACAACGGGAGAAATCCTCAATTCAACCCATACCAACACTATCTTCGCGGCTTTTGAAATGTTGTCCGCTGGGCGAGAATCTGGACATCTATCGGGAGAATCAAAGCGATTCAATGTGCGAGAATAGTGGTATGAGCTTTGAACCGACTATAATAAGTGCTGTTCTCTATGACAATTGCATCGAGGATTTGGAAATAGTGACTACTCTCTCCTATCAAATTGGCAATCCATGCAACAGGTACCTCCACACAGCAACAACGTCGTCACCAACACTGTAGTTCTTCGAATTTCAGCTCCTTTCAGTACGACGATGGGGAGGACGTTTTCTTTGTCCTGCAGGATGGCTCGCTTCTTGTAATGGATATAAATCGTAACGATTCCTATACGATTGAGAAGAACTATTGCATCGACGTCGACAAATCCGGTCACATGTTCGCATTCACATGCATAACCCAAGTGGATGAGCACTTGGCTCGTGGTCAGATGGTCACAGTAGCGGTGCTAATGTTGGTTTCCATTCCGTGTTTGCTGCTTGTCAGCTATTTGCACATGACGCTGAAAAACTTGAGAAATCTGCATGGTCTTTGTTTGAGCTTGATGTCATTAAGCTTAGCCATGGGGTTCTTTGTGTTTTCTGTGGTTGGAATTTACGGACTTCCCTCGGGAGGGTTCATTGGCTACGTCATACAGTTCCTTATTTTGAGTTACTACTTCTGGTTCTTCTGCATCTGTTGCAATGTAATTTTGAATATTTGGTACAAGCTTCCACAATGCGTGCGCTTAAATAAGACTTGGACGTACGTGAATTTTGGTGCCTATTGTCTATTCACGATTATTGGTCCCACTGTTTTGGTCACGCTCACTGTACAAAAAGGATTGCAAGGTATGCCCTCATACTTTATTCAGGGCCTGACGGAGTCCATTCGCGAGTCGCAAAGATACTTCATCCCACCAGTTTCAACATTACTTGGGCTCAGTTTTCTGGTAAGCATAAACGACTACTTTCTTTCATTTGATTGTTACTGGTCAGTTTCGAAAAGGATTCAAGAATCCTTAGAATTAAAAGTACGATAGAAACAAGACATAACTTCATTTTTCAAAACATAGTTTATATTGTTCTAATTGATTGTTCACTTAAATATTTAGGCGATGGTAATCTCCTTTTTTGGTTTCCAACGCATAAAAACAAATGGTTATTTGCGCGCTGAGAAGGATGAGCCGACGTCAAATGCGCCTGTGCCACAATTTGATCAACAAAAATATGAGGATGTGAAAAAAGAGTACGTTTATAATTTAATGCTGGCTACCAATATACCCGAAATACCGATTTGTATTTTATTTTCCCAACACTAGCGCGAAATGCATCTGTTTACTGGGCATCATTATGATCGTTACTTGGCTGCTGGAAATGACCACTTTTTATTCAAAGGGAAAGGAAGGATACTTGCTGCTCTGCGATATGATAAATGGTCTACAGGGCGTTTTCATTTTTCTCATTTTCTTGGTGGTACGGCGACGTCGTACAGTTATTCTGCGCTGGTGGTACGATCGCGGATCTCACAACATCGAGGGAACTGAGCTGCAAACAGTTAGTAAGAATACGAACCCTTCATAGTCAAGTTTAGTCTAGATCTAGTCCTTTAGTTACTTTAATTATGTTTCAATAAAAGAAAGTATTTTTTAAATATTTATATGTATATAAATGGTTTATTGCATTTCCGAATTGTACATAAAAATGTCTCATTTTATATCGTTTCACATTTTACACAATAGATAAATGTCATTAGTTATAGTGTCAATTTGTGTGGTTGTGTGAGTTTGAGAGAGAAGCGTCGTATCTATCGCTATATCATCGTACATAGGTATACATATTGTAAAAAGGAAAGTTAAAGTATTTACTTAGTTGTTCGGCTACTTTGACATACATATGTAGAAATCTATTACGATCATGCAAACCTACATGTGAGTGTTATTATAATGCTCTTACAAATTGTGTATTATTACAAAATAGTCTAAATGTAATATTAAGAATAAATAATTTTGCATACGTATGGGTAGTGGTCATCGTAATCTTCTTCGATATCATTATCATAATACTATTTACATATTGTAAGCGACGTAGATGGGATCCAATTGGTCCGCTAAAAATCCATCGCGTAAATGCATGCGTTGTTTCTCACCACGACTGTTGATAGGAACCACACCTGAAAACCAACGCCAGATATTTAATAGTGAATTTAGGAAGGATCCGAGGATCTTACCTGGATCAACAACGACAACTACGCCCACAATGAGCTGATGCTCCTCGAGCACGGTGTTTGTGACAAGCGGCACCAAATCAAGCGCCTCAGATTCGTTACCATCTAGTTCTACAACTACAACTAACAAATTAGTCCAAGTAAAAACGGCGCTACAAGTAAAGAATTATAGAATAGAAGAAATATTCCGACTCGATAATCAAATTGAAATTCCAGCTACGCTTAGCTTACCACTCCGCAATTTTCTTGTGGCATCGCAATACTGAATTCTCTATATCTATGGGATGGTAGTTCATGCCACGCAGGGAGATCACTTCGTCCAGCGCGCCTACCACATAAACAGCATCGTGAAGTTCCTGGTCATTGGCATTACCCACACCTCCTGCACCACCAATAAGACTATGCTCAGAATTTCCACCTAGCGAGGCATTCGAGAAGTTTAATTGCAACTGACTCATCGAGTTTAGACTCTCCGTGTCACTGTCCCGACTGGCCACACTTGGTGTGGTCTCGTCCAGTATCGAGGCAGCCTGCGAGCACTCAGTGCGGCGCAGGAAGCCCAAATATCCGGTGCGCGCATACATTTCTGATGTGGCGCCAGTGACCAGCTTGGCATTAAAGTGATCATTGTAGTCCGTCTCATCGCCATATATGGTAAAATATCCATTTGCATTGTGTGGCGCTTGCACCTATAAATTCCAATGCCATCATAATCGCAAGGTGTTTTTTAAATGAAAGTAAAAAGTAAAAAGGTGCACAGCTTACCCAAATTTCGCCCAAATGCGAGTCGCCGCAGTGGCCTTTAGTATCTGGATTGGCAATGATCACCTTGACACCCGGTAGTAGTTTACCCGACTCAATTAGACATAATGAATTGGGTGCACCGCGCTCCACCAACGCCACTCGATTGTTGCGCAACGCTCGTAGATCCACATAGACCTGTGCGCTCTCCGCTGAGCTAGCGCCCTGCACACAGATAGCAGGATTGACGCGACAACCGAATGAAGTCGACACGCAGCGGGTGTTGAGGCCCAGTGCCTGGAATAGTTTGCAGAACTGCTGCGTCAGCTGCACCCGAGGACGCTCCTCTGCCACCACGACGCAGGTGCGCACACATCTTAAATCAACGTTGCGTTGCTTCAACGCCGGTATGGAATTACTAAGCGCCTTGGTGCACAACTCAATGACGCCGTAAGAGCAAAATGTGTCACGTACTCGATGCGTTGACAACGTCGAGAGCCAAAGGCTTGGATTCGCTTCCACCTCGTAAGGAGCTATCAGTATAGAGTGGTGACCACTGTACACACCAATGAGCGTCCACATGACAAAGCCCAATCCACAGTAGGGATCCAAACAAAGCGCAACATGCCGCGATGGATATAATTCACAAGCCAGTTTCAAACTGGCGCAAAGACTAGAGAGCGAACTGTAAAATAAAAAGTGTAATCGACCATTCAATTATGAAATTGTCGCTCCCCAATACCGATGCGTTATGTTGACTCCACTCAGGCGTCCACAGGTCGACACACTGAAATCCAGATAGGCGCTCGAATCCAAGGCGACTGTGGCTATGCACGTCAGTTTACGTTTGGGATTGTCGTCGATGTCCAGTATCTGGGGCCAGGTCTTCGGATCAATTGACGTTGCTGCCTCGCGTGATTTTAACAATTTAATGATGGGCTGAATGGAGAGCACAATTCCACTTTTGGACACATCCACGATCATCCGCACCGTCGGTAGTGTAGTAATAAGGTTCTGCGGATGCGGCGGTCTAATTGTGATCGGAATGGCACCCAGATACAAGCAGCCATAGAAGGCGCACAGCAAATCCAGCCCAGGAGGAAAAATAAGCGCTACAAATAATAAACATAAGACATTAGAAAACTCGTATACGAGTATAAATAGGCAAAATCTACAATCCTACCAACGTGATCGCCTGGCTCTATTTTTCCGCGTTCCTGCAGCAGGGCAGCAATTTTCTCAGCACGCTTATGTAGCTCCGAGCAGGTAAGCGTCTTGGCAATGGCGCCTGAAAAGGGGATTAAATATGTTAGATATTCATTTGATCATCATCAATTGCATGTAACTTTCTTCGTTTTTGTTATAGGATATAGTAATCTGACCCGACTCGAACTTTCACTAAACAAACATGTTTTTTCATACATAGACCGAGCTTGATTTCGATATGTTCATAAACAAACAAGTTTTCGACCCGAATAATAATTAGAACATCGTTGATAACATTACCAAATTTCCCGTAACAAAGTTGTTGTTACTCCCGATTGTTTCTGTGGCAGATATATAATTCAGTCGGCCGAATAAGAAGCTTCTTATTAGTGCGATAGTTTTAACACAATATCTCATCATAATGATTCTTTTTACCATTTTTCTGGGCTTTACAAATATCAGACCAAGCGCTGTATAGCCTGTATAAAATGATATGAGTTAGATCAGTTGACTTACCCTTTGAGTTAAGCAGCGTAAATATAATATGATCTGGCGAGGTATTAGCACGCCAGCGTAGCACTCCTGTAATGAGTTGCGGCTGAAAGGAGAGTGAGCTTTGAATGGAGTTTCTGAAACTATTGGCATAGGTTCTAATAACTTACCTTGCGCTCACTATCTTCGGCCAAGCCAACATCGCGTCCATGCGCTACAGCCAAACGATTACCCTGCACTAAATTTCCAACCATGACGGAGGCTGGTCCTACACCCGTGTCTGTAATACCACAGCCAGATGATGAGCTTAGTTTTGCAGTTGATTGCACACCTTTTTGGTTTGATTTGGTTTGTTTCGATTGATTTTTGTTTTGGTTAGTAGCAGAATGGTTGTTTTTTGTACAAGAATTTGTTTAATATACAATAACAATATGGGAGAATTATTTTTCATTTTCGGATATTAATTGTGGGTTTGTGTTATGATTGTGAAGATTATGATTAAGCGACGATGGGATATTGGCAATTAATAAAATTATTAAAGCGATTCAATTGTTTGTTACATTTGTTGTAGATGATGTTTTGTTGTTAAGTTTGTTGTTGTTGTTATATTACAGTGTTATTGTTGTTGATGTTGATGGTTTTTCAGTAAGTGTTGTTGAATATTAGTGGTAGGTGTTGTAGTAGTAGTTGTTGTAGATGAGCAAAGTGGACATAGAAGCAACCGCAGCATTGTTGTAGTAGTTGGTGGTTAAAAAATAAAAGAGGGAAGTTAAATTATTTGTTTAATCTGATAATGAAAGCGTATCGTCAATCTCGGATAGAATAGGGCGTAAATCGAAATTCTGTTCCGAAATTAGATAAGGATGAAAAGTTATTCGGATAACAATTTCTCGACTTCACATTAAAAATTTAAGCATTTAAATATGTATACATCTGTGTAAGTTGAATTTTGAACAACTCAAGACCTTTTCATGTATCGTAACGTACTCAAATCAAAGACGAAATGTTGTTGGAACTATCCTATAGTTGATTTTAAAACCGAGCTATGACCTTTTAATCCGAGATCGATGCAATATGTTTATGCAAATAAGTAGACAGAGATTAAGACTAATAAAACCAAATATGCATATATGTATTGAGATTATGTTAATATGCTCCTTCGCTGTTGTTCCCGTTTCCATATATGTTTGCTTTTTCAAAATTGCCTTTTCAATTTCCGGCTCCGACAAAAAAGTTAATTCCATAACTTTTACCAAAATATCTTTAAGCTTAAATTTCAGCAACATCGAAAAGTGAGCTCAAAAAGTACAATACTTTTCAAAGAGCTATGGATGCGGGGACAGTCCGGTAAAAAGAACTTTTAATCTGCTGCTCACCTTGATGAAGCTCACGCGGTTTGGGCAAATTGGTAACGCACGTATGCGGACACATCAAAACATTAGCGGGATGAAGTGAACCCTCCAAGAAGCGTCGCCGAGCCTCGCACAAATGTATGCCACCCAGTGGGGTCTTAGGCAGATGGTTGGGCGGCACCAGGGCTAGGCAATAAATGCCCACCTGATGTATAGAATCGACAGCCTGAAGCACACGTGACATCCACTGAAAGCTCTCCTCTTCGGAGCAGTCGGGTCGCTGCTCTGCAATCACGCAGACGCGCTCATCGCGAAGCACCTTAATGCTGAAGACTGCGATGCGTCCGCGATAGATGAATCGCATTGGCTCGACTGCTAATACTGTAGCTATAATGTCATCGGCGTTATGCTTGCGACCGGTGACCGTCATAAGACCATCGCGCGAGCCGCATACGAATACCAGGCCGCCAGGCCCAAGGAAGCCGAGCAGACCGGAACGAACATAATAGTCCTCGCTTATGGGCTTAGCATTTGATGCAGTGCCACCTTCTTTGGTCTGCTCAGGGTCTTCCAGCATTAGTTGCACCTTAAACGTGGTATTTGTCATGCCATCTAGTCCAAAATAGCTGGTGCCCGTCGAGCCGCTTGTCACGCAAATTTCGCCAACTTGATCCGTCTTGCAGAGCACGGGTGCACCTTCAGAGCGTACAACCACCATTTGAGCGGCTGGCATTACCTGGCCGCAGTCCTGCAGAGTCAAGGAGGTCAACGAATCCTCGCTGTCCACGCGCACCACGCCATGCGAGAGCGCCGCCATTGAAAGCACCCCGCGACCGGTGGCCGATTGACTGAAGCCGGTCGAAGATCGGCCCGGACGGCGCAACGAGACAGTGAACACCTCCGAACTGCTGGCGCACGGACAAATGGCATCCGAGCGGAGGCCCTTTGATTGGAATACATTCAAGAATTGATCGCACGATGAGAGAGACCAGGGGTTAGCACCGTCAGCCACAAGAAGCATGCGTAGCGATGATAGAGAAATGTCCTTATGATCCTTCGTGGCGAGTAAGCCCCAGTGCAGATCACGGCTCTTGACCAGACAACAGGATGCACGATGTTTCGTTATTAACTGCATCCACGAAGATGGACGCAGCTTCATTAAAGCGTAGGGTATGAAGATGACATGCATGCCGTTCAATATGGAAGTTAACACCGCATGCCACAAACCCACTTCTCGCTTAAAGTCCAGCACACAGACTATTGTCTCCCCCTCTGTGTAATGACAGGCCATGGTCAGAGCACGGCAGTGATTGATCATAGCGGCGCGTGTTACAGTAACGCCTGCAATGGGGGCATTATACAAAATGATCTTTTCGAAAAGCACTCTTTCAAGTTACCCATAACACTCCCCTCCTTATCCGTTGTATACTCTATGTACGCCGCAGCCGAGTCCTCAATGCGCAAATTGCCGACATTGAAGTCCTTGGGCGGCTTGGGTAAATGCTCTGTGACAAACCATTGCAAGCGGGGCCAACCTTTCAGCTTCGCTATCTCGCCCGTTGCGGACTTGGGTAGGCCTTTAAGGCAAGCTTCCGAGGTCAGGGCTACTGTTATGCCGCAAGAACTAAGTAAAAACCCCACCTGCTGTGGTGGTGTATCTGAGCTGGAGAGCGGTAGCTCAATGGGCAACGGCACTAGTCCTCGAAACATGCAGCCGTACCAGGCTGTAATGAAACTATTAAGCATAAAGAATATTATAGATGTTCAATCATACACCACACTTCCTAGACAAGCAGTTAAAGCAATTCTTACCTTAACGGATCATTGTTGGGGTAGACGAGAGCCACACGATCACCCGGCTTCAGGGTTACCTGCTCGGGTCCTTTGCTAAAGATCTTCGTAGATAACGCATAGGCGATCTTTTGTGCACGCGACAGCAGCTTTCCATAGGTTAGCGTAGTGGTAATTTTCCCATTGGGATCCAGCACCGTTGCCATTGCACTCTTAAAGGAATTGGCTCCATAGCGCTGCAGCGCACACTCCAGGGTGCGAGGTAGCCCAGCCGTTATGGATAATTGTTCGCCTTGAACTGGTGTCATAGTGCTACCCTCAGGTTTAGGGGCGTTCGGGTCCTTGGGATTGGCCGCAATTTCCAATTCGATATCGTTGTCTTCATAGAACTCTGGTAGTGGTCGGCGCTTGGGTCGCTTGAGCGTGTTCAGTAGTTGTTGTATCTTGGCCGACACTTTCCACTTGCCACTACCATCGACATCGTTGAGCTCGGTTTGTGAGACATTGACATACCGTGTGACACGATCAGCAATGCGATGTGCGTTATTGAACTGCGTGATGTCTGGGGCATTGACTTGAACGACAACAAAATATATGTTAAAAGCTGATATAGGCCTTTGGGTCTCCATTAGTAGAATGAGAATTGCGATGTTCTACAAAATGGTTCTACCATCGGATTTAAATGGCTATTCAGGAACTACTTATTTACCTTACTCTTGTCTAGATGCATTCTGATTGCAGTGAACATTCTCCTTTCAATACACTTTCTCTTTGTTTCTCTACAACAAAAACTCATTTTTTAACCATTTCTCTGGAAAACTCTAACCCGACCCCACACTTTTATGTCAGACAAATAAATGTCAAATTAATTAATATTTTTTATTTTAGATAGGATTACTTTTATTATTTACTAACAGCTGTGAATGGGTTGGCCAACTTCGTTAATCGTATTGCTTATTGGGGTCGGTGCCTTTATGGGAGTATCGTGATAAATATTTGAATATTAAACAAACCGGAGAGATCTGTATTTATCTTAATTTTGAAGTTATCTAAAAATTTAGAGATGCATAATAAAAATATGCATTTAAAAAGTCAATAGAAATGCTCTTGATTGTCTAAGAAGTTCAAAAGTTCATTGCACTGCCACACTAGGCGTCGTTCTTCGCTGATTAAACATATTTATATGTCTAGTGTTGTTTATGTTAATGTTTATTTGTGTACTTACAGTGCTTCTGCTTGTACGCCTTGTCCGAAAAATCACTGTCGCGCTTATACGCTGTTGGTGGCGACTCTGTGCTCGAGGTATCCGAGGTTGGCTGCGCAAAGAGATTACAGAAAACAGATTAAAGTGTTGAACTCTTAGTGCGCGTGTCAGCGTCTCTATGCAAGTACATATGTATGTAGCTATGTATATATGTTGTGTACATATCAATGTATCTACGAATGCGGTCTATGAGCAGAGAGTTACACACTTCCGAAGTAGCCGCCACTGCTGAGTGCGTTTTTCTACCCATCTATGTATTACGACTATGTGGTGGTTATTCATGAAATGATATCATACGGGCTATAAACACTGGCCGCAACTGGGCACCACACTGCTCGGGTCAGACACACACATTTACATGCAAAGTAGGCATAGTGAGCCAAAGATGTCGACCTTAGGAAACCGTTTGACGAGATCGACGTTTCTGCTAGCAATGAAGTACGAGTATAAAGTGGTTATGAATGGTAGCGGGTCGGCTTTAACTCTAAAGCTCAACTCTTTCTGCAATCGTTTTAATTAGTATGCCAGACGCAGGCAGGCAAAAGAAATGTGGGTATAGCTAACGGAATGGTCACACTATATATGAGCTAATGTACACACATACATATGCAAATTGTTGTAGTTAGTATATGGTGATAAATTTCAGTTACATTGGTGTTTTCACGACGCGCCCGAACCACAAGCCACATTTCAAATTCTCGGTTCCATGCACAACTAAATAGTAAACTTTGAATTAATGCGCCTTTAAAAATAGCAATGCCATTAGCTTGTGCAGTTGCTTTTGCTTTTCCTATTATCGTTGGCGAGTTATTGTTGTCGCTGTTCCCACCCACTAACTAACTCACCAGTGGTGGCAAATTCTGCGGTGGCCGTCGTTCTGCTGAGACGCTGCCCGACGATGGATATTTTTGATGTGGCGGTTGGGACTGAAACTGCGACTGTTTCATCTCGGGTCGTGAATGCTGTTGCTGCTGCGGTTGTGGCGGCTGCTGTTGTTGTTGCGCAATCATCGATGATTCACGAATTGGGGGCTTTATTATTGGCTCTGGGGGCACCATGCTATTACTTATGTGGTCTCGCGGATAATTGTACTCCTTGTCGGGTGAGATCAGCTCTTCGGGGATGGACTCGTCATCGGTTGACGAGTCTACATCATCATTACAGCCGGGACTTCGATTGAGTACCGAAGTGCGTTTCGATGGCATTGGCAAACTGGGCTTAGGCCGGCCCTTAAGTGCAGCCAATGCCTGTTGCACAGCCTCTTGGCGAACCTCTATAAATGAAACAATTTTAGTTTATAAAGGGACTATAGCATATGTACATGGGTACATAATATACATATACAAAAAAATACGGATTGTACCAATATGTTGGCTTATCTGCAACAATAATAACTGTCACCGCAAATTTTGTGGTTGAGGGAATACAAATATTACGAATCATTTAAGCGCTAATCCTTCAATGTAACTACAACTTGCGATTTATCATGATACTCAGTGTGTGTTAAAAGCTTTTAATATAATAACAAATAAAACATAATAAAAATATGAACTGGTTTTATGAGAGAGCTGTTTGTAAATGTTTGTAAATAAATTCCACTCATTGGATTAACACGCACCGTTTTGTAAGAAAACATGAATTAAGATGGGTTTTTTTTGTACCCGAGAGCAACGGTTTTGCGAACGCACCTGAATGATAGCGCTTCTCATTGTGCGTCACCTTCCGTTGTGTGCGTCGCTGACGATGTTGGCTACTATTGGAGGCTGGCGGTGGGTTCTGAAAACCGCTCGGCTCGCGCGTGTTTTGATAGCCTGGATCGCCAACGGCACCACCCTGGGGACGCATGTTCTCGTAGCCAGGTGCACCAATAGCGTCGCTTTGAGGAGCTGCGGCTGAGGAAATGGATGACTGCTGGAAGCTGGACGACTTTTTGGAATGTCTTTGTTGCGATGAGGGCAGAGAGGGCACTTCGGTCACATAACTATACCCTTCACTGGAAATAATGACGCCATCGTTTCCGACATTGTTCCCGTGACTGTTGTTGCTATTGTTGGTGTCTTTAATGTTGTAATATGGCGGCGGTGGCATATTCTTTGACTTGTCCACATCATTAACTGCAAAAGACACACACAAGCGCCACACAAAAATTTGTTAACATATTATATTACAATAGTAAAACTAAAACAAAAACCTTGGCCGGTTTGCTTACTCTCGTGCTTCTTCAAAAAGGGTTGTAAGAGTTTGGTGCGCTTCTTTTCGTAGCCCTTCTGCGTAATGTCACCTGCAAAATAAGTACAAAAACATACAGTGTACGTACATAAAGAAAATTGAAAAATCAAACGGAGAGCAAAAATGAACAGCTCCGCGAACCAAAGCGGAAATGACATCAAAACACATCGGGGGAGTATGAACGGAGGGAGATACGATACATAATGCAGGGAGATAGAGGAATGCTTGGAAGCCTGAGTGATTGGCTTTGACTTTGACTGCCTGATAAGGCTGGGCTTATCGCTTTGTGTCAATGTTTTCTAGGTAAAAATAAAAGTGTTTGAAAGTATGTTTGGTTACATATATGTATGAGTACTACATACACTCATACTATAAGTACGTTGATTCATGCTTGTGGGGTATAAACAAACAGAGAACCCACAAACCACTGATTGTGTGCATTTGATTTGCTATTATAAATCATAAATTTTCCGCGTTTAGGTGTGGATTAAGCTTGTTTGTCTTCGAAACCTACACCCTTATGTAGTACAATTCTGACTCTATTTTTGCGGCTTTCGCACTATTGAAGGACATAATTTTGGTTCTTTCTTAGTTTATACATAGAAGTGTTGTTTTTCCCATGTCAATCCAAACTTATTTAATACTTTGTGTCGAATTCCTCATTTTTTTAAAATCAGAATAGTGAGTTGTTTATTAGATTTAGATTTTTATTTCAATCATTAATAGGTTACAGTAAACTGATATTTTGGTTTGATCATCTTTTAACATATTTTTTCTTTTAAATAATTGATGGTACAATAAACAAATCCAACATCGGAAGCTCGAACCTTTCATCGTTTTGATTTGCATCAAGGCAATAAGAATACCAATTCAAGCCCTTCGTAACAATTGCGTACACCACCTTATATTTAGAACTTTAAATGCATAAAATAAAATAAAAAATAACTGTAAAGGCAATTCATAAAGCCTAAGATTTGTGTGGAAAGTAATGGAATCATACGCATGACATAACAGAGAACAAAAAAAGCAAACAGATGAAGTAGGCATCATAAAGTATGTAAAATGCTTTTGATAAATATTATTAGCATAATTCAGCTGCCCCCACAAAAAAATTTGAGTGCCCCCATTTGTTGCAGTAGTCGCCAACATTGACGGCTGCGAGCCCACTTGTGCTCGTATGTATGTACATTGTATATGCATACATATCTTTTTCATTTGCAGCTATATAGCTGTATATTCCAGCCGCTCACGCTGTAATAAGTATGTACATTTATACGTTTGTATGTATGTATGTACATATTATGTTTGAGAAGAAAAAACTTTGTTGCGCAGACAGGCAGCGCCACCGCCACTGCCGACATTGACGACGCCGCCGCCACATGTCGCTTAACCGACAAAACCGCACACACGTACGCTTCACAATGCCAGTGGCAGAGACAGTGTGAAGCTAAAGCATAGAACAAATTTAAGGGTAGTGGTAGCCATGTAGCCGCAATGACAAAAAACCTGAACCAGCCTGCCTGCCTAGCCCGGCTGGCTGTGTGAAGTTCGAATTGGAATGCAGCTGTGGTCGTGCGTGGTCTGAGTCCGGGCATGGTGTGGTTGTTGTTGTTGTGGGAGGCGTTGGGGCAGGCGGCAGTCAACAGCATGTTCTAATTGCATGACAATTACATTTAACACTGGCTGTGCGCCAGTTGAATTGCCGATGAGGGTGTGGGAGTGGGAAGGGGGTAGAGAGAAAGAGCGGGAATAGCGACACATTTAATTAACGTTCATTAATATGTAACAAAATTCATGCACATGCAGCACCACACAACCGTGTTGTTGGTATGTGTTTGTTTGTACCTTCTGATAGCTCCAATTCCAATTCGGCCAATTTCTCGCGCACATCAGCGGGCAGATGCTCCATGCCCATCATATTTGCTGCCGTTGCGGACATATTTGGTGTGGTATTATTAATTTTGTTGTTGCTGACTGATTTTTAGGAATTATTACTTTTTATATCTGCGACTAGACACAGACACAAGCATGCACTGCCACACGGCTACTTAGCTTTGCTGCTGTCCAAAATCGATCGATTTCACTTGTACTCTGCGAAGATTTTTCTACACCAACTGGCTTCAATGCTCTGCGTTTAGTTAAAAATACTGATTAATTGTGCTTTCACGCATATTCACACACATTTGGGCGCACACATAATTCATATCTCTTTTTCCTCAATTGACCGAATCACGACGCACCCACTGTGCTGCATATAAGTAAACAAAGAAAAAGTAGTACATAGCAGTGGCGGCAGCCAAAAACAACAACGGCAGTCAGCAGCGAAATTTCATGTATTCATCGATTTTATTTGCACGTCGTTTGTACGCAACGGCAACGAGCTGTCTGGTCGCTTACATGCTCGGGCAGCATATAAATATCATGTGTCGGCACGCACGCATATTTAACGCTGCTTTTCAAACAGCATAATTGCACACAATTCTTTCAATTTTCACTACAACTAATTTTAAATATATATAAAAATTCGCAATGCCATCCAACAAGCCAGGCTAACAATTCGCTCTCCCACTGTTTTCAGTCGCTGAGCTTCAAAGCCGTCTGTAGCAAAAATTAACGGCGTTGTGGCACAAGTACTTGTTAATACTAGTAAATATCGAATATACTCGATACATATCGAACAAATGGCCATCGATTTTCAAACAATGAAGTACATATAACTAACTATTTGTTGTTAATTTCAACATTCCATATTCTCCCTGACCAGATCAATGACCGTTTTGTAATTCTATATTCATACTGAAAATGGTCATCATGTCATTAGCGTGATTCACTATTTACTTTTGTGAAAAAGAAAAGGATAGTGAAAAAATTGCTTTCATTGTTAGAAAGAGTTGCTGTCATAGGCGTTTTTAATTTGAGAATCAATTATAAGTGAGTGGCGCTTCTGACGTGCTATGAAGAAGAAGAGGAAAATTTATCGACTAAAAGAACATCGAATAACTTCAAATGGGTGCGCAAAATTCAGCGCATAGTTGGTAATTTTATTTTAATGTGTTTTCATTTGCTTTTAGATAAACTAAAGCTGCAAGCCGATGCATTGCGCAAGCTTCGAGAGCATTATGAACAGCAGCTGAAATATATAAGCTTTGAGCTGTGCGATCTACCAGAAGATGTCGTAGCACTGCTTGGAAAATGCTTAGAACTGCAATGTGCCACACAGATACAGGATTTAAATTTGAACTACCTGCGCGAGTACTATTATATAAAAAAAAGGGAAGCTATTGATCGCAGGTTAATTATATCTCAGAAAACAGCAGCGCTACAGAAACTTAAGCGTGAAATTGACGAAAACGAACGAGAAGTCGCTGGATTGGAGAGGTGGGTGTTGATTTGAAGATGATTTGCTTTGCGATTCAAAGTTATTTATCTGCGACAGGTTCATGGGCTCTGCTCAGAAGCGTGCCAGCGTGGACACCTTACGGCGCAACACTCTGGCAGCGGAGGGAAAAATCCGTGAGCTGGAGGAACGCAACAAGGCTCTTAAGATACCCGATGACTTCGATGTTGAGGCGCTAATCGAGAAGGTTCAACTGCTGGAAAAAGGCAAGAAATAGTCATAATGGTTTTAATTGCAAGGCGTTCTGGTTTTATTTTGTAAAAAATGTTTTTAAAGATATATTTTATTTAATCATAATGCAAAAAACATGTACCATAACATAAAATCAGCAAATTTTAAAATATAATGGAACAGAGTTGGGGAGTGCATACAAAGTATAACTTTTTATAATTTGAACGCTATAATTCTACTTTCTTGGAAGTTTGTGTATATATGTAAGTATATCGCTACGGTATCGTTTACAAAAAAGTTTAAATTGCGGCTAGTTTTGTATTTGTATAACCAATTCTCAGTTTTTTGAAATCCATAAAGTAGAATTTGCGTCTTCTACTACCTCTTAAAGCATACAAAAAATGTGTTCGAGTTCTTTCCTTGCTGTCGCTTCAATTTATCATATGCGAATATATTATATGCATCATATGTATATGGTGTATGTATAGAATTAGTAATTTCATAATCATTAAGTTGTTGCTTCTTCTTCTGTTTGTAGTGTTTTTAATATAAAGGGCGGGTATGTGGCAGATAATCAATTCGGCACGCTGCGCCGCGTCCTACTCCACGCTGTGCACCTGCTCCTAGCGGAACTCGGGCGCATCATCTTGTGTGATATCGCCGTACTTCCATATGGCCAAATGCGCTGCCAAAGCAGCCTCCTGTGCGGCCCTGTACTGCTCCACCAGATCCTTGAGCTTGCGTTCGCGCCTCTTTTCTGCCAACACCAGACCATCAGCCACTAGCTGTTTTCCGAAGTCCGTCTTGGTGGTGGGATCGTGCAGTGTTGCAAGATTGAGGCCGCCGGATACTTTCAACTCCTGGTTGAGCTGCACCTTGTGGTTAAGCACATCGTCCGAGAAGGCGCGCAGGGCTTCCTCCTTGTCTTCGTTGTCCGCGGGCAGTGTGACCAGAGCAAGAGCGTACTCCGTTGCGTAGGCCTTTTCGCTGCTAAAGGCGGGCGGCAAAGCTGCCAGGCGACTGACGGGCAGGGTCTGTAAGAGAAAGGAATAAGTAATTCGTAAGTAGCGATCCAGTGAATAGTGCAATGATTTTGATTTTGTTGCGCCTCGGTAACATGCGTTATGCCATGACGTAGACGCCCCCAGTAACATGCACGCTGATCACCTTATATGAACATTATTGGCATCACGTCGGCCATTGGTTGCATCAAAAAATATGACACATCCGCAGAGCCATTGTGGGAGCCCATATGTCATGGAAAACGGCGTACATTTGGTGTTACTGAAAGGTTTGGCAACGTCCTCATGATAAACACAGTTGTTAGCCGGCTGTGCAATTTTGATTTGGCAAACTTATGACTCATGCGTTTCTCTTTAAGCCGGAAACGGATCTAAGGAGCTTGCGGTCTTTTTTGACATTGAATATCATCTACCGGCATAATTGAGTGCTGAATCCACTCGACTCAAGCATTGTATTCTTATTCTAGGCTAATGCAAACGAATTGCCAATATTTAACGAACATGATCAAATCTAGCATAACGTCTGGATCCAATCCATTGCAGTAAGGATTTTAATTGTTCTTCGCTAAAGTTTATATAAAATCATTAGTATATATAGTGCTTACCTCCTTGTTACCATAGTCAATGTATAGGACGCTGGCATTGCTGCCCTGAACGCGCTCAACCTTGGCACGATACCATTGATTGTCGACAGTAAACTGGGCAGCGACCAAGTCACCACGTTTTGGAGTATAGGATCCAGCAATAGGCGGGTTAGCTTGGAAGTCTGCATGCAATTTGCTCATTAGTGTCTCTAGCTTTGGACCGTTCTCCACCGACTGCGCGAAGAAAGACAGTGTCTCGGTAATTTCGGTAACAATAACATTCTCGTAGTTGACTTTGCGCTCAACTGGCGTCTTCTCGTCTTTCTCCTCCTCAATAACGACCTTCTCCTCCTGCACCTGCTCAACATAATTAGCCCAGATATTCTTCTTTGCGGCCTTGGCGCGGTCTTCGGCGCTTTTCAGGAGGCGATAATATTCGGACTTCTCAGCGCTGAAGTGCACTTCAGCCAGACCCTCCTCGACCAGTGCTACAGAGAGATTGACGTTGCTGTCTGTCCATAACCAGCCGATGACAGAGGAACCAGCCTTGTCGGTGGTGTCAATGTGAACGGAAACATCGCGCTGCAGTACTCGCTCGCGGGTAAAGGTTAATGCTTCGTCGCCGAAGGGTTCGCCTTCCTGTGCTGGCACACCATTGAGGGCGGGGCGTGAGGATCGAGGACACGAGATGCCAGCTAGGAGGAACGTGACAAGGCAGCTATCCTTGGGCACGTAGATACGTAGGCGAGAGCCGCTGGCAACAAACTCTACAATGGCCTCGGTGCGCAGAGCGCGCTGCCAAGAGGGCAGATACTGTACCTTGATGCGGGAATGGTCGACAGTGAGGTCATTCACGCGCAACGTGGCATTGTCCTTCTTGGCGTGTAAGCCCTTCAAACTCTTGCTCGCCTGCTGTTCGGCTGCAATGAGCTGATCATAAGCGGACGATCGTTGATCGTCGTCTTGTCGGTAACGCACACAGGTTGCTAAACCTTTAGCCACCATTGCCTCGGCCACGTTTTGACCGCCAATCAGTACGGTGTAGCAGTGTTTCTCCGGGAAGTTCTCTCGCGGTGGTGAAATGTAGTCCAGATTACATTGAACTTTCTTATTGATCAGTTTCTTGCGAAGAAATTCTCGAGCGTCAAACATATGGGGGATTTCGTACAGGGGGCGGTAGTTCTTGCCACGTGGCGGCGCTTTCACAATTTCTTCACCATCAGCGCCAACTACAGCGCGCTGATCACGTGGAGGTCGTATAGATGAGAAAAATACCTTTTTCACTTGGCCGTTGGCAAGGCGAACATTAATGGCATCACCATTGAAAACCTCAACCACAGTGCCGCCGAAATCCTTCTCCTTGGAGTTGAAGGCCGGCGCCTTGGCCTGATAGTCTTGCCATTGCCGCAGACGCTTCTCCTTTGCAATGCGTTCGGCTGCGCGCAGCTTGTCAGCACCTACGAAAATAAACTTCAATAAGTAAATCAATATCATATAGCGATGTCAATTGTCGACGGGGTGAAATAAACGCCATGAGAAGGCATCAGTCATGGTATTCTTGAAATCCGTCTTTGTTTTGGCAACTGGCCCTTGACAGAATCGAGATGACGCTGTATTTAGCGAACCAGTTGCGATAAATGCTTGGTTGTTGGATCATTACTAATGCAAAAGGTAATTTGTCGAGCCTTTTGCATTTTCAAATGACCAAGTGCTCTGGCAACGTTTAGTGTACAAATAAAGCGATGGAGTACACTTTTATTTGAAATAACGTTGCCGCGCACACATCGGCGGATAACATAGTATTGAGTCCGCTTACCTGTCTTCATGACCGCCATGGACCAGTCCACACACTTTGCTAAACCTTCGCGCAGCAATGATTCCGCAATATTACCCTTAGGATAAAGAATGGTGCCAATGAAATTGGAGTTATTCACAGATTCAAGTCGAATCTCGACATCACGCTGCAGTAGGCGCGTCTCCACATAGTAGCGCGCCTCGTCAGCAAAAGGCACCTTCACGCTCAGATCGGGTTTGCCATCAGCATCCAACTTGACGCCCGGACAGCGAATGCCCGAGATCATAAGAGTGATATAATGGAAATCGGGAACCAGAAATGCGCGAACCGTTGAGCCATCACGTACATGCTCAATGATAGCCTTGACCGGCTTTCCACCATAAATATCCACAATGTGAGCCGGATTCTCGTGCGACCATTTTATGTTGCGCACCTTGTCAGCAGGATTAACATTGTGTGCCCATTTTCCGCGTCCGGCGCCACGTGCCTGGTCCTCCAGGTCTAAAAGTGTTTGCTGCTCGGGTGTAACACGACCTTCTCTTCGCACCCCAACAAGACCCTCGCGGACAATCGATTCCACCACGTTCTCTCCCGTCTCCTTGTCCTTGCCCAGCCACACAGTACCATACTCGCGGTTCGAATTGGCAGGTTTGTCGAAGGTGAACGTTACTTCGTTGCCGATTAATTTCTTACGCAGAAACTCACGCGCCTCCCAAGCCCAGGGCTCATCCTTGGTCTCGTCACCACCAGCTCCGGGCCGGCGGGCCAACTTTGGCGCGAGCACATGCGAGAAAGTAATTTGTTTCTCCGGTGGTGGCGCACCTTTGGTAGCCCGAATTACAACCGTATCGCCGGAGAGAACCTAGAAAAATGTCGGAACGTTTATTGACCACATTGATGACTGCAATACAAATGAGGTTAAAACTGTAAGTTCACTAGAAGCAACACGTGCGCTTCAAACGCCTTAAGAACAAATTTAGTAATAGATGGCGCCAGCTTTTCCTCAGGGTTGCAGCTGTGGTTATTTAAGATTTCGATTGTATCGATATTCACAGATAAAGAGGTCAAGTTTTCAAGTTTTTGATGCATTTGGTTTGAAGTCGGGAAATTTAATGATTTCAACAATATCGGTGTGCTGGTAGTTCAATGACTTGTGCTTTTATCTCACAAAGAAAAAAACAGTTTTAACGTCACTTCAAGCTAATATTTTCATGCATATCAATTGGTTCCGTGGTCTAGAGATTCATGTATGTATATACGTATGTACGTATATGTATATACATATACATATGTACTACATATGTATGTATTTACATATATGATTGTATTCCTCGGTGTGGCTTCACAGGTTGTACGGACTATTGTAATGCAAATTGAATTTTGGATAACTACACACATATGTTCATATTAATTTGACAATACATATGTATACAATGTAGCTTTAATTGATTCAGCGATGAAAGTAGCACATAAGGAATGTGATCAGTCAACCGGTTTTAAGCTCTCCCCTAAAATTATTGTTGACCAAGTCCGTATGTTTACCTTATACTTCAAATTTGAATAAGTCTTTGGTACCTTATCAGCCGCCGTGAAAGGTGCCTTTTTGGACTAGAAGAACGACAGCAGCAATAAAAGTGAAGTGGAGCCGGTGTTAGGGCACTACACGTATAACCTACTCGCTCTTACGCACAGATGCACATGGGACATAGGTGTTGGCAGTTGCTATTCAAAATCAACAGGTTTTCCACATAAAATGTAACATGCTCACAACACGAAGTGAGACCCGAAGTAAGCCGAAGAAAGACCATGTTACCAAGACGTGGCTAACGTCATCGGCCGGCAGCCGAGTACGTTTTCGCCTTATTTTAAATAATTTATTTATTTTGCTTGAGAAACGTATTGATAAGCTATCAGTGCATTGGGACATTGTAACCAAAATGTACAGATGGTTCTGCGGTCACATACCAAACCCAGCGAGCCTGCACCGACAATGAGGGCAGAGCGAATGCATTTGAAATGGTTGGAAATATAATCTGAACTAAAACCACAAAGTTTCATATTTATAGATGCAAGAAGTGAAAGTAGGCGCTTAGCTAAAGAGCAGTTTTTCGGCTGACCAGCTTTTTGGAAATGCTTCAGTACGACAGTGCTATTTGTGAGGTTATAAACGAAACAGTGCACATGTCTAAGTATGCGAATTAGTGTTTGCCCTATACCACCCAAATAACTCCAGTGTTGACAGAGAGCTTTGACACGCCCCCCACACACAATAAAACGAGTGTTTAAGTGCCGGCAAGCACTGCTTCGATGAGGACGTTGTCATGCACATACACATTCATGCATATGTATTATATTTCTGCGTTCAACAACCAGATCCCCACTGTTAAAGAAAATCTGCCAGGTTGGCACCTTCGATAACTTTCATTTTGTCGTTGTTGGTTGCCTTTGCCGTCGTATAAGCGTGTGCGACGTGTCATACGCATCCAAAGCGATATATACGCATCTCTTTCGCACTCGCACTCTTCACTTTGTCATTGGGCCGCGCATTTGCCACGCTGATGATAATGCGCGTACTTACACACATACACGCACATTACATACTCATCTACTAATTTTCAATGTGCAGCGGAATGTTCAATGAATTTCATAAAATATGGGGCCTCTTTTCGGCCGCAAATTCTGACCGGTTCCAAAATCAATGCGACTTACTTGTTTCACTATGCCGGTTAACGTTTTCGCAGGCGCTGTGGCTGCAGGCGCACCATCTTTCGTTGCTGTCGCATTTGATGTTGCCATTTTTTAGAGCGGATTGTTTTTACCGGCAGGTTCAGAGTGCTTTCAACTTAATTAAGTTATTTAAAGTGCCTGTTACACTCTTAAGTTTTTACTTAATTAAGTTAGCTGAATATGAATATGAGAGCGCACGCACCACACACAACACTTATAATCAACTCTACGGTTTTCACTGCTTACTGTGCCTCAATGAATTTACATTTGGCACAGAGATGGGATAACGTTGATAGTGCCGGACTGTTTCAACTATCGATAGGACAGGGTAGTTTATTGGAAAATGCATCTTATCGACATTATCCATTTGTTTATTGGGGAACTAAATTATTGGAAAAACTATTTAAGCAAACAGTACACTTTTATCAATGCGGTTTCCGCTATAAGAAATAAGTCTACATTTAGAATTATAAATATATTATACAGTGTTTCTATGACTTATTAATTAAATATTGTTATTAATAAGGACCGATTTATTAATGGGAACCTAAGATTGCATAGTGTTTTCCAATATAGTGATGTGACACGATACTTGTGAAATATAAGCGCCGTTTTTACTCTTTCACCTCTAAAAAAGAAACAATTCCAAAGTCTCGAAATCGCGCTGCAATCGATGGTTGCGTTATCTAAATTCGATTCGCTTTTATCGATAAATATTGGCGGGAAACTGTTTAATAAAGATGAGTAGCACAAACAAACAGTTTGCCGACAAAGCCTTTGAGCTTCTAAAGGAATTGGACCGGTCGTCGCAAACCATTCCGGCTTTTGATGATGACGGGGTGCGTCAGGTGTTGGAGGAGATTAAAGCTATATTCAAGGAGAATGTGACTCAGGCTTCATGCTATAGCAGCTCAGGGGATCGTAGCCTATGGCCGCTGCTAAACTACAGGCATGCGGCGCTGCAGCGTAATAAACGCTGTCTGCTTGCCTATCTCTATGAACGTATGCAGCGCATTAAGGCGCTCCGTTGGGAGTTCGGCCCCATCATTCCCGTCGACATAAAGCAGTCGCTCTGTGAGCCGGAGGTGCACTTCTTCAACAACTATTCCAAGTCTCTGGCCGCATACATGCGTGCAGTGGGCGATGGCCATGGTATTGACCTCACCGGCAATTTACGGCCTCCTAAGTCGCTGTACATAGAAGTACGCTGCGTGGAGGACTACGGCAAATTTGAGCTGGATGACGGCGAGGTGGTGCATCTAAAGAAGAACAGCCAGCATTACTTACCCAGGTCGCAAGTGGAAACCCTGGTGCGACAAGGCATACTTCAGCACATAGCTTAGATTTAAATAGATACAAACGTTTTAAATATAAAACAATTTTATGACTACAGTTACAATTGTTGGTGTTTAAACTTGTTATTGAACATTATCAAGGTCTCAAATGATAGGAAACTTATTTTATATAGCAGCAATTAAAAAATGATATAGCATGTGAAGCATATATGTATGTAAGTAGGAGTGTACATTATTTTACATTTGTTGTATCTATTGAATTCAGCAAGTGTTGATCTCTTCAAATCTTAATCGCTTTTTAAATACTATCGAGGTTACAACGCTTCCCACTTTGCCACCGAATTTGAATGTGGGCGTTGGTATAGTACAGAACTTCACAAATTTGTCGGCAAAGCTAAGCAGAAGCTCGTCCTCTGTCCAGTTGCATGATGTAATTATAAACAGGCTGTCCTTGTCGCATAATAACTGTTCCACGGTGGACAGATACTGTGCGCGCTTCTCTTTGGGATCATTGGGACAAAGGGAGATGGCATCATAAGTGCCCTTGTCGTGCACAATGTGAAAACTGCCTAAGAACTTGCATTTTTCTGCATCCATCAAATCCACCACGCTATAAGTAATATCCAGGGATTGGTCCTTAGCAATGTTGCTAGCCAATTCAATGGCCTTAGGGGAGTAATCCACACCCACTAACTGAGAATAGGAAAAGCCCTCACGCGCCAGTTCAATCAGAAACATGCCGTTTCCGCAACCCACATCCAGCACGCGTGGAGCACATTCTGCAATGCCGACTTGCTTCATGATCCATCCAATGATACGCAGTTGTGAGTCCTCGTCGAACCAAATTTCTCCAACATCCCCATGATTTTTGTAATTTTCCACCTCACGTCTATAGCTGGACTCCCAGTACTCAATGGTTCCCAATTCGGAGCCGTCCAACTCGTCGACGGACATGGTTTTGTGAGCAATGCGTATTCGTCTCTCGACAAATATAAGAGCTCAGCGCGTTTGTGAGATTGAACAGCTGATTCTTCGTGCGGTGTCCAATTCAAGGTATCGGCGAGCGATTGTTTTAACTCTATTAATCGTTTAAATGCAGATGATAGTTTTTGTTGTCGAAAGCAAATAGGTTATTTATTAAAATAATAATAATTAGTTTATTAAAATAATTACAATAAAAAATCAAATCAAAAATTGAAATATTAACTTGTTTATGTACAAATTAAAACATATACATATTCACAAATAATTTAATTGCGACGCATAGTAAGTTATCGAAGTGTTTGGATAAAAATATCGATACTCTGCACAGCTGCTTAGCTAGTAGGCCCGGTCTATTACGTGAATTTTTGTGTGAGTTGTGGAAACAATTGTGTATGCAATTATAATAATGAATCAGGCTGATGTTTCCAAGCTAATATCACAGCTGCGAATTGCTGTGCGCCCCAAGGCTCGTAACTTAAAAAACAAGGATGGGCCCGAGGGTCGTCTTTTGAAGCTTCGAAAAACAGTCACGGCGCTGGTAAAGCACGAGCGTATTGAATTGTATTACAACCGGGCCGACGAGGCGCGTGGCTATGCGGAACTGGTATGTACATGTACATACATAAATACATGTGTATAAATAAATAAGAACAAATATGCGGAAGTACTGATTAATAATTTTCCACAGCTTATTTCCAACGCCATACGTCATGGCGACCGACACAAAGCGACCATGGAGCTGGCGGACTATTGGTTGCTGGAGAAGCAGTTAGTTCACAAGTTGTTCAAGGTTTTGGTGCCTCGTTATGAGAACTTCAATGTCTCCTACACACGCATGTACAAGGCGCCAAGGGATTACCCGGGCATGTACTATAAAAAGTCAGTGTTAGAGTTGCGCGGCAATCCTTACCCCGCTCTGACGCCAGACCTTTCACAAAACCGCAATTTGCTGCACAATGTATTGTTGGATGAGGCACGCAAAGAGTTCAAACGCGAACAGCTTGCCGAATTGGCAAATAAGCTTGCGGCGGAATCGGGAACAAAATCAACGACTACAACGTCGGTCACATCAGATATGCCAAAAGAGCAGAAAACGGAAAATGAAACTCCTACGACAGTCTGATATCTTAAATATGTTTCTTTATTTGTTAGTAAGTAGTTTCATAACTGCGTGATTCATTAAAATAGTTGAATGTAATTTTGTAAACCTTTAAAGTAATTGCAGTCACAAGATATTTAACAAGAACTCATTTGCGAGGAACTAAATGGACCCAATAGCCGCTTTTAGGAGTAAGCTGGAAACCAACAGAGTGGTCCATCAAGTTCTTAACGGTCTTTGGGGACCGCTCAATTTTATATACCAGCAGCAAGTTGTACAACATGGCTTTAGCCTGCATCAAGGCGTATCGATTTCCTGAAAGTAGAAGTTTTGGTTAAAGTCCACTGTTTGTCAGGAAAAGTGAAGGCCAATCACCTATGCAGTTGCGAGGTCCCACACCGAACGGCAAATATGTGTACGGCACCAGGTTATCCTTTTGCGATTCACTGAAACGCTCAGGCTCAAAATGCAGGGGATCCGGAAAATATCGTTCGTCCCAGTGTAGACCAGCAATAGGAATATTGATGCGATCGCCCACTTTAAATTCGAATATCTTTGTGCCATCGTCATCGCGTAGAACGTAGTCCTTGGAGCACAGCCGATCCGTGGCTGCAGCCAGCGCCCACTTTCGCAACGATTCAGATACAACCATGTCCATGTATGGCATCTTTTGCACAGCATCGTATGTCAAACTCTTGCCTCCAAGCTCGTCATGTGTGTCTTGCACTTCTTGGTATAGAGTTTGTTGTACATGAGGGTTGTTAAGCAGTTCATAGGCAGTCGTACATATTAAGCTCGCGTTATTCTCGAATGCTGCAAAGAAAAATATAAAGCACTGAGCCACGATTTCTTCGTCTGTCCAGTCGGCTGACGCCTCCTTCTTGGCCTCCATCAGCAGTTGTATCATGTCCGGACGTACGATCTTATTCTCCTCACGGTACTTCATTGTATCCACCACCAAGCGCATAAAGTATGCTGTCTTTTCCGAGTCGAAGATCTTAAATCCCAGTAACTTTAAAAGGAACAAAAAGGATGGAATTTACTTTTTAAATAATTAATACGCATTACGTGCATACATTGAACAGCCAGGGAATCGTAGCCGACAGCATAAATTTGTACAATTGCTTTCCTCGAAAGAAGGCCACCGACTGTCCGATCTGGTAAAACTGATTATCGCGCTCTTTGTAAGAGTTAACCTTAAGACCGAAAGCGGTTGTTGCTATTAGATCATTAGAAAGTCTGTTGCAAACATCCTTCAACTCTACATCGAAGCCTTCACCAGTCTTGGACGAAATGGTTCCTAAATGCTGCATGCACTCAGCAAAGCTTTCGTTCATGAGGCCGAACATGTTTCGCATTTTGGAGGAGGTGAAAACTGGTGTAAGAGTGTTGCGCATATGCTTCCATCGTTGGTCCTTCATCACACTCAGCATGTCATTCAAAAGTGGCTCCTTGGAAGTGAAAAAAGGCTGATGGTTGGGAAAGTGGTCAAAGTCCTTAACGGTAAGTTTTTTAATAATCTCGGGATCGTTAATTTGAATCATTGGTGTCCGAAAGTTAAAAAATCCAACCAATTTGCTGTTTATATAAACATATGTGCGCTGATTATTTTAATTGAACATTAAGGGCACAGAACTTTATATCTTATACTTACTGCTGTCTGGTACGCGCATAAAATTCGGACATAAATTTCTGGAACGAGGCCTTGCCTCTTACTACCGCTTCGATGTTACCCACCAGCGGCCATGGCTTCTCATAGGGGAGACCACGTTCCTCAAATATATTGTGTGTAGCCGTTGCCCATTTGTACAATAACAATAGCAATCCGGCTAATAATAGCACAATTTCTATGGCGCCCATAGCTCTTCAAATTATCCTTGCTAAACAACGGTCGTATGCTCAAAACATGGATTTGCACAATTCCGCTTTCCACATAAAACTAGAATTTCACAACCGCGCTCTCACTTTTTATAGTCACCTGTGCTTCGGTTGCTTTTTTTTCAAGTACTTTAAGTACTCAACGTTTAAAAGATAATACTGCCACAGATAACATACGAGAATTGAGCGTTATATGTACATACATATACATTCTACCCATACATCGTTGACTTGCTCTCTGTGAATACGTCCATTATATTGTGAGAATAACAAGCAAATGAAATAATTTCCAAACTTTTGTAATGAAACTTGTTAGGCTGGTACAAAATTAGTTGCGTGAAATTACTTGTATTATAAATTATTGGGTCCTGCCCATGTATACTTACTTCTATATATGTAATATACATATGTATTATTACGTATTATTCACATACATACATATGTACAGTGACGAACAAAATTATTGGCACAGTTGGCATGTCTGACTTTCGCACAGTGTTTCTCCATGAAATATGGTGATATTTAAATAAAACAAATTTTATTCATATACATTGATCAATTTCCTACTAAAATTACTTTATTTCATTCATTTATATTTTTCCATTAATTTAAGAAAATTAAAAATATAAAAAAACAGCCGTTTTCGCCTGAACAAAATTATTGGCACACTTAACCAAAAATACTTAAAATTAACATAAATAACCGTTTTTAAACAAAAATTAATATTTTGTGGCTAAGCCCTTATGTTTAATGACTGCTTCCAAGCGTCTGGGCATCGAAGAAACCAAACTTTGAGTGGTTTCTGATCCAATATTGCGCCACTCCTCCACCAGTGCCACCTTCAGCTCGCCCTTTGTAGATATAGCGCGTTTTTTTACCCGTCTATTTTATTCTTCCCACAAATGTTCGATGGCGTTTAGATCTGGAGATTGGGGCGGATGCGGCAAAGTATGTTTTACATGATGTGCAAGCCACATGCGCACATCATAAGCCGTATGCTTTGGGTCATTGTCGTGTTGAAACGTGAATGTGGCTGGTATGTTCAACTTTTCGGCACTTTTTTTTAGATTTCTCTTAAGGATATCTAAATAATACTTTTTGTCCATAGTTCCTTCTATAAATTCAAGTTCGCCAACACCACCAGCGGACATGCAGCCCCACACAATGACGCCTCCACCACCATGCTTTACAGACATAGCGATGTTTTTTTTTTTCAGTTCCGTATTAGGCTTTCTCCAAACAGTTTGGCGGCCATCAGATTGAAAAATGTTGAATTTACTTTCATCGGAAAAGATGACATTGTTCCAAAAGTCCATCGGCTTACTCAAATATTCGTTTGCATAGGCTAAGCGCTTTTTCTGGTTGACTTTTGAAATAAGTGGTTTTCTTCTAGCAACGCGGCACTTGTATTTAGCTTTGTGCAGTGTCCTCCGAACCGTAATCGGGTGAATATCTTTTCCAAATTCATTTTTAACCTGAGCTGCAATCTGTGTTGAAGAGATTTTTGGGTTCACCTTCACCTTCCTGATGATCTCGGTGCGTTCCCGGTCGGTCAAAGCCCTGGGTCGACCAGTGTGCTTAGCACTCTCCAATGTTAAGGCTCCTTTAAAACGCTGGACAATGCTCCGAATGGTAAACCGGCTTCTATCCATAATTTCTCCAATCTCAGCATATGATTTGCCTTGATTATGCAAATACAAAATTATTTTCCGCTGAGATTCAGTGGTTTCCTTTTGTTTGCCGCTCATTTTGTTAAAATCTTAGAGAATTTGCTTATAAAAAAAGGCACTGCGTGGTTTTTAACTCAAACATTTACAAATATGTCATTCCAAACATAAACAAAACGGGATTTTGAAAAAAAAGTTGCCATATTGTTGAAATTTTGAAAATATAGTTCACTATTACCCAAGTGTGCCAATAATTTTGTTCAGGCGAAAACGGCTGTTTTTTTATATTTTTAATTTTCTTAAATGAATGGAAAAATATAAATGAATGAAATAAAGTAATTTTAGTAGGAAATTGATCAATGTATATGAATAAAATTTGTTTTATTCAAATATGACCATATTTCATGGAGAAACACTATGCGAAAGTCAGACATGCCAACTGTGCCAATAATTTTGTTCGTCACTGTATATGAATATTTATATGTATTTATGTGCGAGTAGATGTATTTATCTAGTTTATTTTATTTTTTTTTTATGGTGATCGTTTTTTATTGGGTGTGTAAATTATTTTTAAAACTTGATCGGGCAAGCTAGTGTATAACATGTTAATATACTTACTCTTATATACTCTCTCGGGCGGACCCAACTCTTAAATACCCTGACCCACTGCTACAAAATCGAAATTTTTTTTTTTAGTTAATTAAAAAAAAAAACTTATTAAATAGAATAATTATTAATGAATAATATTATAATAATAACTAAAAGAGCATTTAAGAGTTGACCCCACTCGACTCTAGCATTATATTTTTGTTCCGTTTGGGTGCAGGGTAAAAAAAGGTAGGCTTATCAAAAAATTATTAACCGACAAGAGAGAATGCTACAGTCGAGCAAGCCCGACAATGGAATACCCTGTACCCACACAAACTTCCGTCACTGAGTTATGTATATGCGCCCATAGCAGAAGAAAAAAGAAGAAGAAGAGCGAACTTGATGATGTAGCTTGTGGGCGTAGTACAGGAGTGAAATGGTTTCGCCTAATATTTTCTTAGAATTGACCGATTTAAATGAAATAAAACTAATGTAGACAATTATGCATACTTAGATTACGTGTGCAAGGATTGGTTTATGTAGCCTTTGAAATGTGGACAGCATTGAAAAAACTCTGTTGCGAGGAAAAGGGGAGGCAAATCAAAAAAATAAAATAAACTCGTATAGGGACTAGGAGAGCTAAAGTCGGGTGTCCCGACTTTGAAATACTCTGTATATATGTTTAGAATAATATTAGAAATTAAAAAAATTAAGAAAATTAACAAGAAAGGAATGCTAAAGTCGAGCAGGCTCAACTCTTAAATACCCTGTACCGCCCCAAAAAAAAAAACAAGATAGAACGTATTTATATGCGTGTATGTATGCAGCACAAAAAACCAAAGCAGCAACAACAACAACAGATGCGGACAGCGCTGCAAGCAGAGCATGAGCAGCGATTTTTTTATGGCTATAACTTTCTTCAGAATTGACCTTTCATGATGAAATTCGGTATACGGACACATAAGCACTAACTGGACGTAACTACTAAAACTGATTTCAAAATTCCGAGAATTACGGAAGCTATAAAAAAAACACGAATTGCGGTGAGTGGGGGGGGGGGGGTGGTGTATCAGAATAAAAAAAATAAATTTGACCTGCCTCGGGCTTAGGGGAACCTGGATACCAAGTTTGATAATTCTAGCTCTTGTACCTTCTGAGATCCTTGCGCTCATACAGACGGACGGACGGACGGGCGGACAGACGGACGGACATGGCTAAATCGACTCGGCTTGTCACCCTGATCAAGAATATATATACTTTGTGGGGTCTGCCACGCCTCCTTCTGCCTGTTACATTTTTCAGCTCGCGCAAACATAGTATGTATACTCTTGTACATTTCATGTACAGAGTACTATATAAAATGCTTCATTTGGTTATTTCACAAGTCGTCCGTTCGTATGCAATGCAGCCTGTATCGGTAAAAAGAAAAACAAATAAGAACCTGTAAGACGTTTGTGGACTTTTGTGGAATTTTACATGAATTAGGAAAATATATATGTACCTCCATATCATTGCACACATGTACATACTATATAAATATAAGTATAAGAAGTGTATTATACACATGCAAAATTTATGGAACAACTGAGCAGCGCTCAATTATAAAATAAATCGCCAGCCATACAAACGAGTCCCGTTTTGCTCGGTTACACAAAACGCGGAAATCTCGACAATTTCAATTTAAATTCTTAATGAAAATGTACACATTATAAAAGCGCGCCCTTAGCCATATAGCCAGTGCGTGCAATGTGTGTTGTAGGCGGAAAACTGGGCGGTGTCAACGAGAACTGATGTATCTGTGTGTGTGGGTGTGTGTGTGTGTGTGTGTGTGTGTATTATGGCCACTGATAAAACACGTTTTAGCTTAACTTTTCACAATTTATCATGAGGCCAAGTACGAGCTGCGCAACTGACGGGAGGCGGTTGTCAAAACTGCGAGCGCATCATTACTCATGTCAGCTTGTTGGCTGAAGGGAGACCTCTGACGCGAGTGCGAAATTAAAAGAGCGCTAAAAACATAATGATGATGCTTTTTAAAATGTTTCTCAACATAGTGCATGTTTATTAATTGTAGCAGCGCAATATAGGGAAACATTTTTTTTTAATATTTCGACATATTTGTTGTACCTTCTGCATCATATATATTGTTAGTGATTGCCATTATATTTGGCCATTTTTATAGCCTGTACCCAAAGGGTGAAAGGCTATACTAGTTTTGTGCGCATGTATGTAACACACAGAAGGAGGCGTGGCAGACCCCACAAAGTATATATATTCTTGATCAGGATGAGAAGACGAGTCGATATAGCCATGTCCGTCTGTCCGTCTGACCGTCTGTCCGTCTGTCTGTATGAGCGCAAGGATCTCAGTAAGTACAAGAGCTAGGATAACCAAAATTGGTATCAAGGTTCCTATAAGCCCTAGGCAGAACAAGTTTGTTTATTTTTTCTGATACACCCCCCCACTCCCCCGCAATTCGTATTTTTTCTTATAACTTCCGTAATTCTCGGAATTTAAAAATCAATTTTGGTAGGTACATCCAGTTAGTACTAATGTGTCCGTGTGCCAAATTTCATCATGATAGGTCAATTCTGAAGAAAGTTATAGCCATAAGTAAAATCGCTGCTCATGCGCTGCCTGCAGCTCTGTCGGCAGCGCTGCCCGCAGCTGTTGTTGTTGTTGCTGCTTTTGTTCAACTTTGTGCTGCATACATACACGCATATGAACACGCATAGGTACGTGATGTAAATGTATGCTGTTTAAACTGAACATAAACATGTATTCTAA